TCTGTGTGTAAAAGCGTCTGTGTGTAAAAGGGTCTGTGTGTAAAAGCTTCTGTGTGTAAAAGCGTCTGTGTGTAAAAACGTATGTGTGTAAAAGCGTCTGTGTGTAAAAGCGTCTGTGTGTAAAAGCGTCTGTGTAAGCGTCTGCGTGTAAAAGCTTCTGTGTGCAAAAGCGTCTGTGTGTAAAAGCGTTTGTGTGTGTAAAAGTCTCTGTGTGTAAAAGCGTCTGTGTGTAAAAGCGTTTGTGTACAAGCGTCTGTGTGTAAAAGTCTCTGTGTAAGCGTCCGTGTGTAAAAGCCTCTGTGTGTGAAAGTGTGTGTGTGTAAAAGAAAAGCGTATGTGTGTAAAAGTGTCTGTGTGTAAAAGGGTCTGTGTGTAAAAGGGTTTGTGTGTAAAAGCGTCTGTGTGTAAAAGTGTCTGTGTGTAAAAGCTCCTGTGCGTAAAAGCGTCTGTGTGTAAAGGAGTCTGTGTGTAAAAGCTTCTGTGTGTAAAAGCGTCTGTGTGTAAAAGCGTCTGTGCGTAAAAGGTTCTGTGTGTAAAAGCGTCTGTGTGTAAAGGCCTCTGTGTGTAAAAGCGTCTGTGTGTAAAAACGTATGTGTGTAAAAGCGTCTGTGTGTAAAAGCGTCTGTGTGTAAAAGCGTCTGTGTAAGCGTCTGCGTGTAAAAGCTTCTGTGTGCAAAAGCGTCTGTGTGTAAAAACGTTTGTGTGTGTAAAAGTCTCTGTGTGTAAAAGCGTCTGTGTGTAAAAGCGTTTGTGTGTACAAGCGTCTGTGTGTAAAAGTCTCTGTGTAAGCGTCCGTGTGTAAAAGCCTCTGTGTGTGAAAGTGTGTGTGTGTGTAAAAGAAAAGCGTATGTGTGTAAAAGTGTCTGTGTGTAAAAGGGTCTGTGTGTAAAAGGGTTTGTGTGTAAAAGCGTCTGTGTGTAAAAGTGTCTGTGTGTAAAAGCTCCTGTGCGTAAAAGCGTCTGTGTGTAAAGGAGTCTGTGTGTAAAAGCTTCTGTGTGTAAAAGCGTCTGTGTGTAAAAGCGTCTGTGCGTAAAAGGTTCTGTGTGTAAAAGCGTCTGTGTGTAAAGGCCTCTGTGTGTAAAAACCTATGTGTGTAAAAGTGTCTAGTGTCTGCGTGTAAAAGTGTCTGTGTGTAAAAGCGTCTGTGTGTAAAAGTCTCTGTATGTAAAAGCGCCTGTGTGTAACAGCTACTGTGCAAAAGCGCCTGTGTGTAAAAGGTTCTGTGTGTGAAAAACAAAACGAAGGATACGATGCAGATGCAAACTAGTGTCTGAAGAATTGTACTTGTAATATACTGTCTTGATAATACTTGTCTTTGTCTCGCCTGCCTATAATACATCTTTAATATATTGTCTTGCAATATAGTGTCTCAATACTAACAACAGAAGACCCTGCTCTCTCTCTCCCTCTCCCTCCCTCCCTCCTCCCACTCTCTCTCTCTCTATCTCTCCCCCTCTCCCTTTCTCTCTATCTATGTCTCTCTGTGGGTGCAAGACAAGTGTCACATGATGCCCTTTATAAGAAGCAGCACAGTGCATATGCATGGGTTGTCACAGGTATCCTCTTCTTAATCAATCTTACTTTTCACAACTTATCCCTCCATAGCTCATATAAAATTCACCAACCATTCACCGACTATTTTTTACGACTACCATACTCAGAGCTGCTTGAAAAACGTGTTTTTCGCTCTCGGGCCAACCGTCGTCTAGCTCCAATGTGGATGTCATTCAGGGCATGCCTGTGACCACTTCAGTGCCAGCCGAGGGGCAGGCAATGCAGTTTCCTATGCAGTCAGAAGCGACTGCATCCAGCTGGGGAAGTCCCAGCAACTTGTCTGTCGGCGAAGGCCTCACGGACTCAAGTGCAGGGAGAAAGCGAGCTCCCTTTTTGCTAGAACTTTTTTGCGGAACAGCAGGTGTTTGTGCTCAATTTCGTTTGCTGGGTGGCAAGGCTCTTGGAATAGATCATCATTTGCAGCTGTGAAGCTGGATCTGACCCAACAGTGGGTCCAAGAGTTGGTGGAGCGTGAGCTTCGGCTTGGAAGGGTGGAAGCAGTTCACATGGGTCCTCCGTGTGGCACGGCCTCGAAGGCGAGAAACATCCCCATCAGAAAGAAACTCAGAAGAGCCGGACCTCCCAATCCACAGCCGCTTCGGACTTCAAAATTTCCAGAGGGCTTCCCATGGCTTAAAGGCATCCGTAAGGCCAAAGTGGCCAGTGCAAATGTCCTTTACGAGTTTGCAGCCAAGATCGCAAACATTTGTGACCAATGCCAATGCGGCATTTTGTTTACAATTGAAAACCCGCAAAATTCACTGATATGGGAGACGTTTTTTTTGCGCCCCTGGTTGAGCGCTTCAATTTACATGTTGTGGATGCTTGTGAGTATGGTTCCATGCACGAAAGGGCACAGCATTTTTGGCCAATTTCGTTGCGCCTCGCTTGCAAAAGCGTACGTTGCAGCGGTGACCATGTACACCAAGACTGGAAAGTGCAGCGCATGGACAATGGCGAATGGAAATTTGACACAGCGGCAGAAGCAGAGTATCCTCCAAAGCTAGCTCAGAAGTTAGCTGCCTCATTCATGGACCAACTGCTGCCTACTGGAAAGTTTGACATTCATGATGATATTGTTGACCATGCTGCCAAGGTGGGCTCAGTGCATCAAGCGAGACGTACAAGAGGGCCGTTGCTTTTGTCTGAGTTCAAAACCAAGGTTGTCATTGCTTGCAGTGAGTCTGATTTTCCGCCAGACATTATCCCGGCAGATGCACCAGTGCCCTGGCAAGGTGTTCCAGTAGGTTCCAAACTTTGGGATCGTCAGCCGATTCAGTGGGAAAGTGGGGAAGATAGGCGGCTGAGTGTGACATATGGAGTTTATTTTTCACCACATGAGTTTGACGCTGAAACACCCCTTTGATGTGCCGTTGCCTCTTGAAACTGCAAACATTGCAACATGGAGTCCAGTGCTTTTATTTTGGAAAGGGCCCTACTGAAGTCTGCAAGTTCAGAATCAGAATGCTGGAGCACTACATTGGCAGGGCAAAAGCGTTGCAGCAGGATGAGAAAGCATTGCATGATTCCATGTGTGCAGAGATCAGGCCTGTTATGAAGTCCAAGAGGCTTCTCTTGTTTCAAGAGATGATGCGTGATGCTCGGGTCGCTGACGAGTCATTGTTTGTCGACATGTGCCAAGGGCTCAAACTTGTTGGTGACTTAGACCCCTCGGGTCAATTTCCCCACCAGTTCAAACCAGCGTCACTTGATGTGGAGCAGCTCAAGCAGACAGCGAAGTGGGCTCAGGAGGCCGTTGTGGCCTCATGCAGAAAGGTTGCAGATGATGCAGAAATCGCAACAGCTGTTTGGGAAGAAACTCTGGAACAAGCATTGCCCGAGAAACAGTGGGTTCGTGGGCCCTTCACAGCTGAGGAGATTTCAAGCGCCAAGGCTCTCACTGGATCCCTTCGCGCCGTTTTGGGGTGCGTCAGGGAGGGAAGATAAGGTCAGTTGATGATTTTTCTCAATATTTGGTGAATGCAACGGTTACAGCACACGAAAAAATTGACTTGCAGGCATTGACTGCATTTGCTCTACTGCTCGTTTCTTCCTTGGGGCTACTCCTTCAGATGCTGGTCGAGTCCGGCGTATACCTGACGTTGCAGACTCTTTGAGTGGTGCGGTAGCACCTGATTGGCCCCGCGCAGGATGTCAAGATTTGCTTGGAAGATGCCTTGATTTGAAACATGCATACAAACAGCTGGTCCGGCATCCACGGATGCTTGGGCGGCTGTCTTGGCGGTGCTGAACCCTCATGACTCCGAGGTTTATTTCTTCGAAGCTGTTGCACTCCCGTTTGGAGCGGTGAGCTCAGTCATCTCGGGCTGCAGCTAAGCTCTTTCGCTTGGTAGTGACCAATTTCTTTGATGATTTTTGCCAGCTTGAGCTGGGGCTTCTCTAAGGGTCAGCGTGGAAGACGGCAGAGATGACGCAACTCAACGCGTTGATGAAGTTTTATTTTTCTCTAAATGCAACTGAGTATAACGTGTGTTATACGCCTTCGAACTACGAACCTTTTCAGATGTAACCGGAAGCACGTGCTTTGACTTGATTTTCAGACATCTCAGACATCGCTGGCTTTGATGTGAATCTGCTTGAGTGTACATCTTGCGCATGTATACAGGGGTATATATATATATGTTTGAGTGGATATCCATGTGGATTATACAGGTACATGTATATATACGTATACTCTGATGCTCAGTTTTGAGCAATTGCAATTTTCGTTGAACAAGTTATTTGAAGCTCGTGTGAGCTCAAGATTCAAATTTTCGTGTGTGTCCTCTGCTCAGCTCCGCGCCCGGGCGCTCGCCATACCACCATTGCCCTTGCCTTCGGGTCCATTGTGCATCAACGATACAGTATCACCTTGTTTCTGGGCAGTTTGAGCACTCTTGATTTCCGTGAATCGATCATCATGTACGAATCTCCTGATCCTACGGCAGTAGGCAGTCCGCCTGTGATGTCGGACGACGATGACTCTGCTGCAGATTTCCAGCTGCCGCCCCCGAGTCACCAAAATGGAACCATGCTGCTTTTCTATGCACACGCCACTTTGCGTAGTTTGATGCGACCTTTCTTCAATTTGGACCCCGACGACGCGAGCAATATTATTCGATTCAAAGACCACTCTGGGAAACCCTTGGCCTTTGATGCCACCATCGGGAGTCTCACTTGGCCCCGGCGTGTCACTGCATATGTGTCTGATAGGACTTTGTTCCTTCAGGCACAACAATTTTTTGACCAATTTCCCAATCACGAATACCACGATTTGGAGCGCCAGGAGCAAGAGCAACGTTTCAATGTACGATTGCGCCTTTACTATGTGAATATTTTTCACTTTTCCGATTCTCTCGAACAGGAGCTGGACCGTATACCAATGCACAGTTGCATCGCCTCCAAAGTCGCTTGAACCTTTTGGAAACTCATTTGCGATCCGGGGGTGCTACCCCATTACCACTGCAACCCCTTCAAGTCCTGCCATATGACCCTTGGACTGACGATGGTCCTCTGAGCTTGATTGTCCAACAGCATCAGCCAAAACATGTTTGGGGTAGCGCGCGTTTTGTCTTCAATAGTTGGTACTTTGATCGAACTCCATTGAGCTTATAAGTCATGCGACATGGACATGCATGGATTTATGTACTTATACCTATATATATATATATATCTGCCTACATATAAAATAATTTCCAATCTCGTGAACCTGCGGGGTCTCTAAATGAAATTTTCAGCTGGTCCAAAATCGGCTCTGTTGGGACCCGAGTGGGCGAGTGCCCTGAACTCAGATTAGGCTGTCAAGTGACGGCTTCTCCTCATCTTTTGGTCGAGTGACCTACCATGACAGCAGCTTCCATGCACATATGCCGAGGTGGCTGTGTGTGGGAAGCCATGTTCTCAGATACTCTCGGAGTTCCATGTTCATTTGCATGTCATGGTCTTTCTTTGCTTCTCCTCATCTTTTGGTCAAGTGACCTGACATGACAGCAGCTTCAATGCACATATGCCGAGGTGGCTGTGTGTCGGAAGCCATGTTCTCAGATAATCTCGGAGTTCCATGTTCATTTGGATGTCATGGTCTTTCTTTGTGTAAATCACCCCCCGTAGGTTGAAGAACATTCGTGACAGAGTCTAAAAACCTTGGCGGCCGGAGTGGCCATTTTTCTTTGAGTCGTGAGAGACCACCATGATCTTGTCAGAACTCACTGAACCATGTACACGATTTATGTGAACTCGAATCACGTGATTCTTGTTCTCGACTGTCAGGTTGAAGAGATCGTCCAAAGTGGACGTCTGGACCTGGCGACCAAGTGGTCAGTCTGGAACTCACGTGAGACCAGCGACATTGACATTCTTTAAGATTTTCCATAATAGGCGAAATGCTTAAATCTGAACTGAGTAAAAGTCACCGTTTCTTTATAACTCAGTCCTTGACCTGTTGTTCGTTTTTAATTGAGCAAGGTGTCGTCGACATCAGCTGAGCATCCGAACACTTTATCATTGCTTCACCAAATACAGCTGTGAGCGCCCAGTGTTCACCTCAGCTGCCTACTTTAAACCCAACTCCGTTAACGAAGGGGAGTAAGTTGACTGGTGGATATTTCTTTTCTATTATTGAATAGTGAGATACGCAAGAGCGTTTTCGATTTTCTGGAATCTACTCGAGTTCCTGGTTGCAGTCAGGTCGCCATCTATCCTGGGGCACCAACCTCAAATCGCGACGCAATGCCAATGCCGTAGTTAAACCAAGACTTGTGCTTGTCTCATTCGGTAGCTCGAGCATGGTGTGAGAGACGGAAGTGGTGTTCCACTCACTTGTGCATTCGCCTTAGTGACCTGTGTTTCTTTGCCGAACGCAACTGCGAACAGCCGCACCAGTTGAGAAATTTGCTATAAGCCCCTCACGTTAACTGCTGAACCTGAGAGTTTGCAAGTGCAAGGCTCCCGCCTGCCCGACAACATGCAGCCTAGAGTGCAAGCGGGCAGATCATCTGCCTGGCGAGGCGTTGATGAGTTTGACCGATCAGCACCAACACCTGGGCACGGTAGCATAATGATCTCAGGGCTCATCGGGAATATCCTTGATACCCAAAATCTGGATGAAGTACGTAAAGTCGGAAAGGCGGAAGCCTGCATAAAAGAAATCATTCTACACATGGGTAGCCCCACAGCAATAAAGCCCCTTATTGATTTTCTTATGGAGATCGAGGCGGCGAAACAGTGGCTTTCCAAAGGCAAAGCCTTCGAACCACATAACTACTTAGGCACCCTGTGCCGTCCTGCGTTGCGATCTGAAGACTGCTGTGGACCTGAGATATTAAGACATCGAGCATCTCCTCATTTCCATGGAAATTGTGAAGCTTTTGATTTCTGGTTAAACGAACTGCTGTCCTCGCTCACCGCACCAGAAGATTATCCGGCAGTGAGATTCATTTGCGATGTCCATATTTCTTTGCGCACCATTTTGCTTTGTTGTGCTTGAGCTTTCCCGCAATTCATACGACAGCCAGATTTCTTGGCGCACCATTTTTAGCTTGTTGTGCTGAGTTTTTCCAAAGAACCCTCCTTCTCCGGCCGGGCACGTAAAGGATCCCAACCATGCAGAGCAGAATAGCAGCGCGAAAGGAAAAGAAGTGAACTTGAAAAAATTACCAACACGCGCTCGCAACTCGCATCACACGTGCAGTCAAATCTAGTAATTTGCAACCTATACTACTGCTTGTAGCTGTTCTTCCGAAGGATTTCTCCACCAAGCCTAAATGACGGACTGCCAAGACCCCGAGATGGAACAAGGTTCCAACTTGCCGTTGCCTCCTGGTATTGACGGCGAAGAGACAAATGAGCCGCAAGTCGAGTCCGAACTAGAAAGCCCAAGTACACTTGCAGAGAAAGTCCTTGCCGAAGCACAGCAGGCTTTAGCTGATAGCTGTGATGTTAGCCGGGGTGACTACCTCTTCGGAGGTCCAGATCTCGACCCCGAAATTGAGAATGGCCACGCTGGATCTGAGGGAGAGGTTGACGGGAGACGCATCATGGATGAAATTCCTGCCCCTTCACCTGGACAGCTTGACACTTTCAATAGCTTGGTTACGCAGGCTACGCTTAGTGCCGACGTCAGCGACGGGCTGAAGTTGCCGTGGGAGCAGGGAATTTTCAAAACTATTTTTGATGACGCCCCACTATGGGGGCTCCCAGAAATCCCTCAAATCTCCCAGTCAACATGTGGACAATATCCAGAACCTGAAGAACTTGAGATTGACTATCCATATCCAGAGCCCAGAGCCAAAGTGGCACGGACATCTCGGGTGGTGCATGGCCTTTATGACAGAGCGATCAGCTTCGGTCTGACTTTAACCGACCAAGAAATTGACAAGAACAAGTGGGCACGATCTCTGGAAAAATTGTACACGCTCTTCACTGTGAATTCTTCCAGCTGCCCTGAAAGTCTGAAGTTGGTAGCCGATGACATGGAACAGAACCTTGCCCGCATCAGACATCTCTGTGGCCTTAAGAGCTCAGGGACAATCTTGAAGCGTGCAAACAGCTTGCTACGATATGTGGCGTGGCACAGATCATTCTACTACCAGCGACAGCCCTTTCCTTTCGTGCCTCAAGAGATCTCAGAATATATCTGGGAAAAATTCCAAGATGGAGTGAGCTACAGCTCTCTTAGTTCTTTCGTCGAAGCTGTCAACTTTGCGATCCATGTGTTAGGCATGCCTGCTCTGACCAGAGGAAAGCCACTCGTCGATCAGTTTACCAAAGGCATTTTAGACAGGGCAGCGCTCCAAAGACCAGGCCGTAAACAGGCTAGGCCTTTAACTGTGCATGTTTGAAAAACACCGAAATGAACCTGTTCGACCGGTACGCGGCGGGCTCCTTTCTGTTCGCTATTTACGCTCGATGCCGCTGGTCAGACATGCGAGCTGTCAACTCGTTCGACTTTGACGTTTCAACAGAAGAAAATCACGTGCATGGTTTCCTTGGATTTACAACTTTCAATCACAAAACGGCATCGCAAGTTGCCAGACATGGCTTACCTTTGCCCTTAGTTGCCCCAATCTGGGGCCTTGAAGCCCCGGCCTGGGGCTTGATGTGGAAGAAGGTAGCTCGAGAAGCCGGGGTGGACTTCAGCGAAGCCTTCGCGGGCCCAGTGCTGCCGGCTCCCCTCAAAAATGGAACATGGGGGTCGCGTTCAGTTGGATCCAGTGAAGCGAGCAAATGGCTTCTTGCCCTACTCAACAAAGTCAGCGACAACCTGGAGACAGTGTCATCGCACTCCCTAAAGTGCACTACACTCTCATGGTTAGCAAAAGCTGGAGCGGACGAAGCCCACAGGTTGGTGCTAGGACACCACAGCAGTGGGCGAGGATCCCTGGAGATCTATTCCAGGGACATGCTCGCAGCCCCTTTGCGCACTCTCGAGGGGGTCCTCAGACAGATCCGTGTTGGGGCACTCCAACCAGATCGCACTCGGTCTGGAATTATCCAGAAACCCACAAGAGATGATTGTAGAGACACAGATCCTCAGAACAGCGGCACAGAAGAACAGCCTGGACGGGAGGCATCCAGCAGTTCATCTTCTTCATCTACATCAAGCTCAGACTCCGACTCAGCCGACAATGAGTCAGATGCGGAAGACCAGATTGGGCATTGGGCCAAGCTCTCCCAGGACAACAAACACCAACAGTCTTGGGGCATTCGAACGATGTACCAGCATAAGCTGAGCAAAGTCGTGCACCTAGAAGCAGACTCCGAGAAACGCCAGTTTGAGTGCGGCATCATAGCATCGCATGAGCACGAAATCGTGACACAAACTCTTTTCCTCGAAACCAGGAAATGCAAACGATGTCAGAAAGCGGTTGGAGAAGCCTGAAAGGCGTCTCCTGACACTGCATACGACCTGCAGGCAAGGTGGTGAAAATTGTGTTGCCTTACTTTCTTACTGCAATGCTCGTGTATTTCTTTGTTTAAACAGCATAGTCATTTTACAAACTTTCCCGTGCCCGTCGCTGCATTTAAGGCCTCGCAACCGCCCCTGACATTTGCCACATAACTTGAATAACAGCAGATATTTCTTGAGTGCTCAGCCGATAGACATTTTCTTTAAGCTATTCTCTTTACAGCTTTCCAAAGCACCATGGCGCATGCCCCGCAAGAGGCCACTTCGTTGGTGTACTCCACTGACGCCTTGACGTCTCGGGCCAAGAAAGCCGGCTTGAGCCAAGAGGAGATCGATGCCATTTTGGCGAGCAATGTGAAAAGCCTTGCGCAACTTGCATTTGCAGTCTCGCCTCCAGGTGCGTCTCCGTCAGATAATGCTGTTCGTGCTTTCTTTGGAGGATCAGTAGCTGTCAACCTTGCCACCATCACTTCGTTCAAGCTCCTTGTTTTTGAAGCCCATACGTTGGTGGTAGCCAACATCAAATCAGAAGTCACCAAGCGTGACGAACCAGCCACTCATAGTGTCCTTCCGCCAGCTGAGAGGGATCGTCGCATCCGTGAGCAGACAAATCGCCTCAAAGGCTTGAGGTTCCGAGGGGACGAAGAATGCGCCCATAGCAACTATGACCTCGTTTTTTCCTTGATCGAAAAGGACACTTTGCTTTACATTCACCCAGAAAAGTTCATTACTCGCCGTTGTGAACTCCAACAGAAACGGCCAAGCAAGGAGGTCGTCCTTGACCACAACTCACTGACGGTGAAAGAAAAGCAGAGTGAGCTGACATGTTCCACCCGCACGGAACTTGAATTGTTCCAAGCCATGAGCCTCTAGAGGCTACAACCACACTTCTTTAGTTCAAGTACTCAGAGCCGATCGAGCAGCCTTTCTGCACATCGCCGAGCAGATCACGACCCTCAAAAGGGATAGCGCCAACGAACTGCCGCTTGAGAAGTTGTTGCCACAAGTGCTGGCAAAATCCAGTGTCAGCTTTCACCTGCTCCCGCTGGCAACAGGTGGCAAATCCGCAGTTCCCAAAGCAGAGCCAAAAGCCAATCCCAACAAAAGGAAATATGGCGCCAACACTTCCCCTGCCCCTGCCCCTCAACAGCCCAAGGGCAAAGGGAAGGGAAAAGGAAAGATGAAGAAAAAGGGTCGCGGCCCGAATGTGCCAAAAGAGTTAATCGGCAAGGCTCTCGAGGGGCCCAACGGACAGAGAATTTGCTGGCCATTCAACCTCAACTCCGGCTGCCGTGATGCACCACCAGGAGGCACATGCACCCGCGGCCTCCATATCTGTGCGGAGCCCGGGTGCGGCAAAGCACACGGCCTCCCTCAGCATTCGTGACAAACGATGCCAACAGCACAGAATCCTTTGCCCTCTGATTTTTCCGCCAAAGTACAGAGTAAGTGCAAAGGAGTAGAAGCTAATAGCCTTTTCTGTGTCGAAGTTTTCGCCGGTACAGCTCGGCTAACAGCCGTGCTCAAGCAAATAGGTTTTCGTGACTCTTTTGGGATTGATCACAAAATCCATTCGAAGCTCAGTGGCCCTGTGATTTCCCTTGACCTCATGCATGATACTGCCGTCGCCTACCTGGCGTCGCTAATTCAGCAAGACCGATGTATCTACGTTCATTTTGCACCGCCATGCGGCACTGCTTCCAGAGCGCGTTTCATCAAACGCCGTTTTCGATACAACCCACCCATTTTGAGGACAGATCAGTTTCCAAATAGCCTTCCTGGACTGCGCCCAGATCTGCAAACCCGTGTTCAGGCAGCCAACAATTTGTATAAAGTCACTCAGCAGCTTTGCAGACTGTGTCATGCTCACGGTGTTCTCTTCTCTCTTGAGAACCCTGCACGAAGCTTCTTGTGGGACACCACGTACATGAAAGCCTTTCTGCAGGAAGTGCCGCATTTCCAAACGCGTTTCCACCATTGCCAGTTTGGTAGTTCGCGCAGAAAATATACTGCTTTTACATAATATACCCACCTTACAAGCGCTCGAATGTCATTGTGACAATTCTCATTCTCATGAACCGTGGGGTCCCACCCCACACGGGTGGGCAACTGCGCTTGAGACAGCATATCCCTGGGAACTGTGTCGGGCCATTTCAGCTAAAGTGGCTTTGTTTCTGCAGCAGCTTGGGGTCCAATGTACCACCCCACAGTTCGCTCTTCAAACTTTGCAGCTTGAGCAAATTCGGCATGACACTATGACCCAGAGTACCTCCACAGCTTTGCCTTTAGTGAGCGAATTTCACAAAGTCATTTCTTGGCCAGTCAACAAACCTTTACCTCCCAACTCAAGACCTCTTAGCACTCCTCCAGTGGGGGCAATCGCGAGTGAAGGTTTCAGAACAATTGGTATTCACCGAAATCCAGAGGATTTCGTCAAAGATGCCCTGGCTTGCAAACATCCAAGCACTGCAAGTGATGAGTTGCCACCCCCTATGTTGAGGGCGATCAAGTTCACGACGGAACACACTCCTGAGCATGTTGGCAAGACCAGATCCTCTGTTCTCAGAGAAATGGTGGCCAAAGCAAGGGAGCTGACTCAAGGCGAGGAAGATCTGAAAAGCAGCCTGTCAGTGCGCAGGAAGGAAATTCTTGCTCCAAAAAGAATGTTGCTTTTTAAGTGGTTGATGGAAAAATCGGGATCTTCCAACACCTCTCTTTTCCAAGACACGTGCAACGGGTTTGACTTGACCGGGACCTTGCCAGAGTCCCACATCTTTTCCAAAAAGTTCAGACCAGCGCATCTTCCCACAGAAACCTTGAGAGGAGTGGCCAAGCAAGCCAGATTTGCCCTGCTTTCTAGTGTTAAGAGCTCAGGGGACCACGCGCTGGATCTAGGGGTTTACGAAGCAACTCTGAAAGAGCAGCAGAAAGGTTTCGTTGTCGGTCCGATACATCCCGACACCTTGCCAGATGGTGCGACCTTGACCAGACGCTTCGGGGTACAACAGAAGGGGAAGGTCAGACCTATCGATGACTATACCGGGCATCTGTGGTCAATTCGGCTGTCACGCAGCCTGAAGCAGTCTCCATACATGGGGTAGACCATATAGCTGCGATGGCCGCGGAATTGCTTCGCTCGGCCACTGGTCGAGGCCGATCCCTTGATCTAGTGGCGAAATGTTGGGATTTGGCATCGGCGTACAAGCAGGTGCCGCTCTCGGATTCCGCTTACCAACTGGACTCCTTTCTGGTCGTTTACAATCCGCATACTGAAGAGGCTGAGACTTACCAACAGCGTGTGTTGCCTTTCGGATCAGTGGCGTCCGTGGCTGCCTTTCTTAGGTGTTCTATGGCAATCTGGCACATTGGGAGTTCTCTTCTCTTCTTTACTTGGACCGCCTATTTCGACGACTTCCTCAGTATCTGCGAGAGTGATCTGGCTCGTCACACTGAGATATGCACCTCCCTGCTTTTCCAGCTTTCGGGGTGGGGGCTGTCGACGGACAAGTTAGTGCCATATGAAACTTGTTGCAAGGTTTTGGGCATCGAGCTGGATTTCACTAGATCACCTTCTGGTTCCTTCGAGGTTATGAACACCCAGGCCAGGAGAGAAGAGCTGTGCCTTTTCATCGGAGAGATCCTTGAGAAGGGAACTCTGAGCCGGCCAGATGCCGAGCGCCTTCGAGGGCGGCTGCAGTTCGCCTCAAACCATCTCTTCGGCAGAAGGTTCAAGAACTGTCTGCGTGAGCTCAATACACATATATCTCGAGGCTTCAAAAGTTTGACGCCCTTGCGCATGATATCCCACGTGCTGGAGTTGAACAAACCACGCGTGGTGGACACTTGTCATTTTGAGTGGGTGCATCTCTACGTGGACGCGGCGTACGAGCCGGCGGGGCAGTCTGGAATAGGCGGCTTACTTCTGGCGTCTGATGGCTCGTGTTTGGGTTTCTTCAGCGAGAGTGTCCAAAGAACTCGTTGAGTCCATCAAGACCCGACCAGAAGACAGTCATCTTCGAGTTGGAGGGGCTCGCAGTAGCCATAGGGCTCTCAGTCTTTCATTCCATGCTTGCTGGCAAACGTGTTGTCATTTTCACTGACAACCAGGCAGTTCAGTCGTGTCTCATCCGTTGCAAATCCGCGAACCTGCACATGGACTATATAGTACGGTATGTGTGTAGGCAGGAGGAACGTTTGAGCACCATGGCATGGATTGAACGTGTGCCCAGCCAATCCAACCCATCAGATTCGCTCTCACGTGAGGTCGTCGAATCCTTGAGTGACATGAAAAGGACCAGGGTGGACCTTTTGACTATGTGGAAGAAATGCTTGGAAGAAGTGAGAGACGTCACCCTTTACACAGGGGAATGGCGCGATGACGTCGGCTGAACGGATTTTGCCCCATTGGATAAAAGAAGAGCGCAACCTGCAACAGTGCATGCTTTGACTGTTGGATTGCCACTGAGAGTTGTTCGAAGCTGTTGCATTGCAAGACAAAATAAGACGCAACTCAACGCGTTGATGAAGTTTTATTTTTCTCTAAATGCAACTGAGTATAACGTGTGTTATACGCCTTCGAACTACGAACCTTTTCAGATGTAACCCGAAGCACGTGCTTTGACTTGATTTTCAGACATCTCAGACATCGCTGGCTTTGATGTGAATCTGCTTGAGTGTACATCTTGCGCATGTATACAGGGGTATATATATATATATATGTTTGAGTGGATATCCATGTGGATTATACAGGTACATGTATATATACGTATACTCTGATGCTCAGTTTTGAGCAATTGCAATTTTCGTTGAACAAGTTATTTGAAGCTCGTGTGAGCTCAAGATTCAAATTTTCGTCCCACCTCTGCACAGAGGCCCAACCCCTAAAATCATCACTGCAACTTTCCTGTTGCACAGCCAGCTTTTCCATACCGCAGCATGTGCTGCCGTGCAAGTGCACCAAACCTGTGTCAGTGCTTGTTCGTAATTCTATTACGCCTGCAATTTTCGTTTTAATTGTATCCTCTTCAGGTTTATTTTCGCGGTCAGGTGACTCAAATCATTCCATTTCTATGCGTTTCGACGTCATGTCCATCAGCCTACCCAGCCGTCCATGGCGCGATGACGTCGGCTGAACGGATTTTGCCCCATTGGATAAAAGAAGAGCGCAACCTGCAACAGTGCATGCTTTGACTGTTGGATTGCCACTGAGAGTTGTTCGAAGCTGTTGCATTGCAAGACAAAATAAGGTGATGACTCTTTTTTGTGGCTGGACAATTTCCACTGGCGAAGATAAGCGTAAGCCGCAAGCCCTTTGAGAAGAAGTTCGAAATCCTTGGTGCAGTCATTTCTCTTCCCCCTCCATCGGGGGGCCCTGTTGAAGTCGAGAACAAGCAGTCGCGCTAGATCGGATGCCAAGTTGAGGAGCTCAGACATCAGCTTGGGAAAACAGTTTCAAGGAGTTTGTTGGAGTCTCTGAAAGGGAGGCTTCTATACGCCTCTGGCCATACGTTTGGAAAGTGTACTCAGCTTGCATGTCAGCTGCTTCACCGATTTAGCGGTGCAGGCGCTTCCATCAAAGTTTCTGCTGAACTGGTCCATGCAACTGCAGAAGCCCTTACCCTAATCTTCCTAGAAGCTTTGTTTTAGAGCTGGCAGCTCTAATTTGGCATTCTAGGGTCCTAGAAGCTCATTTGGGAAGCTCTAATTTAGAGCTGGCAGCTTTAAATTAGAGCTGGCAGCTCTAAATTAGAGCTTCCCAAACAGGGCTGGCAGCTCAAATTTAAGGCAGCCGCCTTAAATTTGAGCTTCCAGGATTTTTGATAAAAAAGTCACCTTAGAAGCTCTAAAATAGAGCTTCCCAAATGAGCTTCTAGAAGCCCTATTTTTCTTGGCATGCCTGCAGCCCATTTTTGCAAGAGAAAAATGAGCATATACACACATACATACTTATTTGCATTAACTATAGATAAATATAGATAGATAGATAGATAGATAGATAGATGGATAGATAGATAGATGGATAGATAGATAGATCGATAGATAGATAGAATATATACATGTATTTGGCAAAGGTTGCAAAGGAACCATATTTAAATCCACATATATGGTTTCACATACTTTTTGATCACAACTGACAACTGCTAGCTGATTTCATCGCCATGGCAAAGCTGTTGCCTGTGAAGCCTGTGGAAAGGCTGGAAAAGGACAAAGTCAAGCAGCTGGCAGCATTGATCAAAGGCTGCATACCTGATTGCAAACTTGAAGACTTCCCAGCAGATCCAGAGAAAGCCTGCAAAAGGCTGCAAACCTTTCTGTGTTTGTGGTACCCATCCACAAGCAACAAGAAAGCAGATGAGAGGAAAGCTTTCTCAGAAGCCTGTGGAAAGCTGGAAACCCATGAGACAAAAGCGATTGTGAACAATCTGCATGAATACAAAGCTTGGCTGCTCAGAAAAAAAAGAAATTTGAAGACTGGTGAAAGAACAGACCCAACCCTCATGGCCTTGTTCAATGCAATCCTGCAAAAGGATAACCAGGGAATCAATTTAAGCAGTAGCAGCAGCAGCATGAAGATGCCTGGAGAAGAAGAGCTTGAGAAAGCTGATGAAAAGCCTGTGAAAAGGCTAAGAAGCAAACAGCCTCTGAATGACAAAGCAGAAGACAAAACAGAGGTGCCAAAGCCTGCAAAGGCCATATGCTTTGCTTTTGACACCCCTGGAAGTCAAAAGTCCAAAAGCTGTGACATAGTGTCTGTTTCCAGTGTTTCCAGTGGTGGCTTTATGGCACCTGGAGAGTTTTCAGAAGAGCTACCTGAGCCTGCAAAGGCTGGAAAGGCAGGCGCAGCAAAGAAGCCTGCTGCTCATGTGGCTTGCAAAAGGCCAGCTGCTGCAAAGGGAGTAACAAAGAAGCCTGCAAAGGCTAGAAATAAAAAAGTTTGGGTAGTGTCAAAAAGCTTTGGTTTCATCCATGAAACCAAGGCTTCCCAGAAAGCATACATCAATGCAAAGCCAGAGATGGCTGACAAACCATATTGTCTAGTCAATGTTTCGCTGGCAGCAGGCCAGCTGCAAGACATGGTTATGAAGAAAGTGTTTGCAAAGGCACAGGAAGAAAATATGACAAAGGCAAGCCTGGTTCACTACAAGAATGAGCTTTTGGAAGCTGGGGACAGCTCATAAATTGCAAAGCCTGTGGGAGGCTGTCAAAGTCAAGCTGGAAACAGCTGTTGAAGCTGGGGACAGCTCTGTGTGAAGCTTGGGAAATGCTGTTTCTTTTTTGGGTAAAACACCAAAGAGCTTGCAAAAGGCTACCAAGACCTATCAGCTTTCAAGTTTTGAAAAATGTGGCAGCTTGCTGCAGCAGCATCTGTAGAAATGTGAAGGGGGTCAGCTGGCAGTGCAGAAGTATGCAACTCTGTTGCATGGGCTCAAAACAGAACTTGTGCACTTGAGCACAAAAAGCAAAGCAACTAGGCAGATGGCACATATACAAACAAACAGTGTAGCAGAACCACAAAATAGAAAAAAAGCACACACCACTACAAACAGAAACCGTGAGGAACATGTGCATATAGACACACGCACACAGAGACACAAAATCACGCACACACACACACACTTCCTTTCAAACCTGACTCTGTAGCTTCTGCCTCTGCACCTTGCCCACACACAAGCTGTGGGGCCACTAGTGCCATGGGAAGCCAAATGGCTTTTATGTTGCTAGCTCTTCTGCTAGTGACTCAGCCAGGAATGGCTTGGAAGCCAGCAATGGCTTTGCTGGCCTTTTCAACAGAGCCAGTGATGGCTACACGGTTTGCTTGGTGGCATCTGAGGACCTGGTCTGGGCAGTACTATTTTGTACATCCAGATGGATGGTTTGAAGAGCTGGAGCCCTGGGAGCTGGTGGCAATAGAATTTGCATTTGCCACAGAGCCAGCGATGGCTGTATATGTGGATGCTGTGTCTCATATGATGGCACCAAGCCAGGAATGGCCCCCTGTTTGGAATGCTGACCTCCAGATATGGCAGACCAGCAGGGAGGAGCCAGGAAGGGGCTCTACTGTTGCCCAGCCACTGGACCTCGACAGGCTGTGGCATTCCCAACAACAGCCTGCAACAGGCTCTGCTTGGAACCAGCCTGCTGCTTGGAACCAGCCTGGAACAAGCTCTGCTTGGAACCAGCATGCTGCTTGGAACCAGCCTGGAACAGGCTCTGCTTGGAACCACCAGCCTGGAAGAGGCTATGCAAGGTCAAGTTGGGAGCCTGGGCAAGGCTATTGGGAGCCTGGCCAAGGCTCTTGGGGCAGCTCCAGTGGCCCTTCAAGCAGCTCCACAGGGTGCGCAGGTGGAAGGGAACCTGAGCAGCCTTGGAGGTGGAGGGCTGAGGAAGGCTGGTACCAGCCCTATGTTGGTGATAAAAAGCCAAGGCCTGACTTTGAGGCTCCAAGGTTTGGGACCAGGGGCTTTGGTTCATCCTGCAGAAGGATGGAAGAAGGTGGTTGCACAGGAGGGGTGAAGAAACACCTGACCACCTGAAGCCTGTGAAGGCTAAAATGACCCTCATCAAGCAAATGCGTGACATTGATGAAGCTTCATCAGAATCAGAGCTGCCTGAGGTCCCAAAGCCTGAGAAGGCTCCAGATACAGACACAGAAAGCAGCAGTTCTTTTGATTTTAGGGGAGGCGAGGGGAATGCTAAAGCCAGAGATGGCTCAAGAAAAAGGGTGTGGAAGGGAACCCCCAGCAATGCTGCAAAGCTTTCCTTAGTTCCTGAAGAGCCAGCGAAGGCTGTAGAGCCAAAAGTTGAGGAGGAGGAAGATGAAGATGAGGACATGGGGGATGGGAAGGAGGAGCCTGCAGAGGCTGGTAAAAAAAAGAAAAAGAAAAAGAGAAGAAAAAGCAAAAAAAAATAAGAAAGAGAAAGATGAGTCTGAGGATCCTGGGGATGGCCCTGATGGCCCACCAGGAGGCCCAGGAGGAGCCAGTGATGGCTCAAGAGGCTCTGGCCTGGGGCCTCCCTTGGTGGCTGCAACTTGAAAAAGTTAAAGCAGCCAAAAAAAGCCTGCAAAGGCTAGGAGTGAAAGCTTGAGAAAGGCTTAGGAGTAGCCTGGGAAGGCTGAAGGTAGGCAGCTTGGAAGAGGCTCCCAGCTGCAAACACTGCAGCTCCTGGCACAGACCAGTGAGAGTTTTTGAAAAACAGAGCTGCTGCGAAGGGGAAGGGGGTGGGCTGGTTGAAGACCACAAAAAAAAATAGGGGCAGTAAGTAAGGGATAGGGAGTACCCACAAAAGCCGTTTGGATGGGGAAGGTTTCCTTTTTGGTTGCTGAGTTTTGCAGAAGCCTGCAAAGGCTTAAAAAAAAATCAAATGTGGTTTTCAGACAAAAAAGTCTGAATTTCAGACTTTCAGACTTTCAGACTTTCAGACTTTTTACTTTATATTTAAGTTATTAATTAAAACTATGAAAATCTGAAAGTCTGAAAGTCTGAAATTCAGACTTTTGTTTTTTTCCTAGAAAATGAAGCTGATCACCAAAAATTCTGCAGCCCTTTGGCACAAACTAGAAAGGGTTTTAGGGATCTAGTCAGACATGAAGCGGCCTGCAGCAATGATAAAACAGGAGAAGCCAACTCTAAAAAAAAAGGCAAGAGAACAGGAGCCTGCAGAGGCTGAGTTGGGAACTGAGCCTGGAGAGGCTGAGCCTGGAGAGGCTGAGCCTGGAGAGGCTGACAGCCAGCAAGTGGCTGATCAGGAGCCTGCAAAGGCTGCACCTGCAAGTGGCTCCAAGCCTGAAAAGGCTTTGCCAGCAATGGCCACAGAGAAAGCCAAAGCTAAGGCAAAGGCCTTGGCAGCTCCTAGCAAAGCCCAATGGAATGATGTGCATTACACAATGAAGAAGCTTGAGAAAGCTGGCAAGATGGATTTGCCTGAGAAATGGAAGAAAGCTTGCTCAGGAGGTCACCAAAGCAAGCGTGAGTTTTACTACCACACATTTCTCCTAGATCCAGAGGCCAGCAAAAAAGAAGTTCATAAGAGTAGCCTGGAAAGGCTTTCGGTGGAATCAACCAAGTTGAAAGGTTGGTTCACCAAATGGCAGCTTGGGGAAATGCAAGGTGCAGTCGCCACCCACCCCATGTTTGAACAGCTCTGCACAGAAGCCTGCAAAGGCTTACCTGAAAGAGATCATGAGAATGAAGCCTGGGCAAGGCTGGGTGTGAAACAATATTACTTCGAACATTTTGAAGCTGAGAAGGAAAGGCATGTGAATGAAAGTACAACTGCGGCCAAGCAAACAGTGGAAGTCTCTGACAGGCAAGATTTCCAAAAGGCAGAGAAGGCCCTCATGGCTGAGCCAGACAATGGCCAAGTGGTTTTTGGAAAGAAAAGCCACAAGGCTGAGGCCAGTGCAGAGGAAGAAAAGCCTGAGGAGGCTTACAAAAAAGCATACCAAAGCCTGAGTAAGGCTGTGAAGGCTTTCTCAAGTGCAGTTGACAAGCTGCAGTTGCTGAAGACAAGCTTGGCAAACAAGCAGAAGGAGCAGCCCAATGCACAAGTGGCTGCCAGTGTAGGTGAAATGGAACACTTGCAAAAGCAACATGAAGACTTGAAAAGTCAGTGGGTCACCAGGCTGGCTGCAGTTGCCAGCACATTGCCTGCAGATGCAGCCAGTGATGGCTCAGAAACTGAGAAGCTTCAGCAATGGAAGCAAGAAATTGAAGAGCAAAACAAAAGCCTGGGTAAGGCTTTGAACCCACACAGATTGTGGGCCAAGAATGCAGGTTTGATTTAAACCATGTGGCCTGCACAAGTTTTGGGGAAGAATTGAAGCCTGGAAAGGCTGCTAAAAGTTTTGCACATAGTAGAAGCTTGGAAAAGGCTCGACCGAACCTGCAAAGACAGGTACATAGCAACTTGTGCCCCTGCTGGAAAAAAAAGCTGCTGCTGCTGCTGCTGCTGCTTTTGCTAGGTAACTGTGTGCACATGTTCAGCAGGTCAAAGGTTTGGTGGCACTGTCAGGTGAGCTCCAAATGGCTTTTTTCTTCGCAGCCATTTTAACTTCAAGCATGAAGCTCTGGTTTGTTCTAAAAGTTTTTTTCTGCATGTGCTGGTGCACGTGTGGTGCCTGCAAAGGCAAAAGGAAAAGGGAGGAGCCTGAGGAAAGGCTTTTGTTGCAACCCCCCAGGCCCAAAAGCCAAAAACAAAGAGATGCAGAAGAAGATTTTGGAAAGGAATTAAGAAAATTGTTTGAAAAGAACAAAGTGTCTGCTCAGGATAGCTACAGGATCTTGGAAAAAGCGCAAAAGTGTGGCTTAGAATTTTCAAATCCTGTGAAGGATTCAAGCTGGAAGGCATCCAAAGGATCAGAGCCTGAAAAGGCTAACAGCAATGCAGCTAGGACCTTGAAGAGGTTTATGACAAGGAAAAAGAATTGGAGCGACTTTTACTGGGCCCAGATCCCACTATACAATCCAAAGACAAAAGCTGTTAGCCAAGAATGGCTGCCCTTTCTGCTGCCACAAGAATTTTTGTCAGATTATTTTTACCAAGAAGGGGCTGTGGAAGAGGCAATGCCTGCAGCAGGCACCTACAGGAGCCAGAGATTGGCTGAAGTTTGCAAAGCTTGGGAAAGCTCTGTGATGGTTCCACTGGGGCTTCATGGAGATGGTGTTCCCATCCAAGGCAGGATGAACCAGAGCACCTTGGATTTCTTGAGCATAAACCTTCCAGCCAGCGAGTGCTTCCAAGCAGAAAGAATTCCAATGTGTTGCTTGGAGGCAAGGCACAATGCTGGGGAAGAAACATGCTTGGAAATTTGCAAAGTCATAGCATGGAGCTTGAGAAAGCTAGGGGAAGGAATTTATCCAACAGAAAGGCATGATGGGGAACCATTTCATGCAAAAAAAGATGCAGAAAGACGCAAACTGGCTGGGAAGCCAATGCCTGCAAAAGCATGTCTCTTGGAGATGCGATCTGATTGGGATTGGAACTGCAAATGGTATGGAACACCAGCCAACAATCAAAAGTGTGGCTGTTGTTGGCTTTGTTCTGCCAAACCTGACAACTAGAAGGCATTAAGTGTTGAAGAAAGAAAAGGCATGAGCCTGCAACAGGCTGATTGGTTGAGCAGCTTGGAAAACAGGGGAAAGCAAACCAATCCTCTTTTTCAGCTGCCTGGTGTGACCAATTGGTCACTTTTTCCTGATTGGATGCATGTGGCAGGTGAAGGTTGTGCAGCCTTGGCAGCTGGCCAAATCCTTCATGAGCTTCTACCTTCATATGCTGCACCCAATCAGGAAGCTCGGGTAGGGCTGCTTTGGGACCATATCCAAAGCATCTATGAAGCCAGGGACTGGCCAGCAGAACAGAGGTTGCCCAAGTTAACCTTAAAAGACATAAAGAACCCTGGGAAGGCTGCTGAGCTAGATGTCAAAGCAGCTCAATGCAGACATTTTGTGCCAGTGGTGGCAATCCTCACTGAGGAAAAGGGTTTCAAAATTGGAAGCTCAAGACAAAAGGCAATCCACAATGTTGCAAGATATTGTGCAAAGATGTATGCTGCCTTGGAAGCTGGAGACAGCATGGCCATAGCCAGCAATGGCTATAATTTTGTTAGCCAATACCTGGCTCTAGAAGAGCATGCTGTAACTTGGGACCCTGATGACACCAAAACTTGGAGAGCAAGACCCAAGTTCCACTTGCTGCAGCACATTCTGGATGAAGCCTGCAAAGGCTTGCACCCTAAAGATGTATGGAACTATCGAGATGAAACATTTGGGTATACAATGCAGCAGCTATGGTTCAGAAGAGGTGGCAAAACCAAGAGCCCCAAAGTCGAAAGTGAATCAGTTTTGCTAAGATGGGCAAACAGCACAGAGACCTGGAGCTTGCAAAAGGCTATGGAAGCAAAGCTTGAAAAAGCTGATATGGAAGCCTGAGAGAGGCTTAATGTATCAGAGCCAATGGGCTCCAAGACTATCATGAATGCCAGAAAAAGAAGCTGCTGCTGTGTGCAACATGGTGAACATATGTAATACATGACCACTGTTAAAACCTAAAGAAAACATTGCCTGGAGAAGCTCTAAATTAGAGCTTCTAGAAGCTCTAATCTAGAGCTTCTAGAGAGGATTTATCATTGCTCTAGAAGCTCTAAATTAGAGCTTCTAGTGATTTTTGCTAGAAGCTCGAATTTAGCGCTGCCAGCGCTAAATTTGAGCTTCTCATTTTTGAGCTTCTAGAAAAGAGCTTCTAGGAAGATTAGGGGCTTGCTTGTAAATGTTGGACCACGAAGGATTGACCGGTGGAGCAACGAGCCACCAGTCCTTGTCTTCACCATGGAGCAGTGGAGGAAGGGGCCAACCAGGTCACACATGGAGCGCTGTTACTTGTCCCGGTTACTCAGCAGAGCCTGGTGTTTGGTGACCACGTGCCCCAATGCTTTGTCAATGCATGGATGCGATTTGGTAAGCGCCAGGTGATTGCTCAGACAGAAATTTTTCCTGTCCTTGTTGCGAAGGAGACCTGGGCCGAATTGCTTGCTGGCCGCAGTGTGTTGTGTTTTCTTGATAACGAGTCTGCAAAGATGGATTTGATTCGTAATTTCTCTCCGGTGCTTGACAGTTTTCTTCTACTTCAAGCAAATGCAAAGCTTGACATAGAGACACAGTCAAAAAATTGGTACAGCCGAGTCCCTTCAAAGAGCAATCCCTCTGATGCTGCATCTTGATTCGCGTTTGAAGAATACATGAGTTCCAGAAGATGTGAACCGTGCTACACGAAGGTGACTAGCACTTTCACTGGTTTCGAGTTGTTGCTGAAGTCTTTGGAAGTGGGGAGTTAGAATTAGAAAGCAACTCTTGGTGCAAAAGTAAGTCAAAGGATTTACTGCTACATGTGTGTCATGTGCTTTCTGGCCGCAGGGCCGTGCACGTTACGAAGAAATGTGACATTCTCTTGTCATGCAATCCAGATGGTGGAACGAGCGAAAGCACTTGTTGGGCCTGCCCCGTTTTGAGACAAATAATCAACGCGGTCAAAAAGGAATAAATTTAAAACATGTCATGTGCAGATGTTTTTTTTAAATAAGGAAGACGCGTAGGTCCTAGGTAACACGTCGCGCGATAAGATAGCCTTATTGGTAAGGGTCAGTTGTTCAAGCTGTTGTAGATGTACTCTACAACTGCGTGCGCCGCGCTCCCTTTAACATCTAGAATCTAGACCTTCCTTTTCTATTTTGCTCCCCGCGCCGCATGCGTTGCACTGCATTCACTTGACCAAACTGCAAACGTGTCAATAAAAAACTGTGAAACAAATCTGTTTTTCCAATTTGTCATTTTTTCGTTTTAATTTTAAAGGTTGTAAACCTTTTCCGTCATCAGCACGTTATTCTATGTTCGCTGATGACTGTCATTCATTTGATTGCATCTCATTTTTTTTTTTGAGAGCACCATCGCCCAATCTATGTTGCGTCTGCAACATGTCCTTTCAAGGTGTGGGTGGGTGGGTCCTCAATTTTTCTGAGGAAACTGAAATAACCACCCGTTTTATGTCCCACCTGGTTTCTCTCCGGGTCTGTCTGATCCTGTTTTCTCTTAATTAGCAGTTTGTGTTGGGCAGCTTCTCCAACCAAACTGATCCAGTCGAACTTTCCCCGCAGCGTGATTAAAAAAAATTGGGCACCATGAGAGTGAAACCGTTTTTTCATCGGTCGATTTTTCGTGATGATTGTTGTCAATGTTTTTGTGATTGAACGTTTGCTGAATCTTCACGTTTTTTGACGACGACATTTCACGGTCTCGACGAAATTTATTTGTTGTTGGCGTTTTTACGTTTGTTGGTCAGGTGTTCTTGATTTATGCTTGAGGGTCTCTTTGCGCGGCGCGTCCAACTGGCGTGAAACAATAAGATGATCCAGTTGGCACGACGCTTTCGCCAACACCTCCGTCGTCAGCAGCAGATTCATTGTCAATTTGGATTTTCGATGAATCATGCAAAGCTTCGGATCCATCCAATTTTTTCGTAGGCCTACCTGAGGCCAGAGCCGCAGCGACTTTGTATCACTGACGATTTTGACCAGTACATGTTTCATGTTTGCATCACCGCAGCAGAATGGAACACAGAACATAAGCCTCTGCATTTTCGGCGCGGGCGCTATCTACATCATTCACCAGTTATCACTCGTCACTCATCACTAAACTAAACATTTAACATTCATCATTGATCGTCATCGTCTATCATCTATCATCCGTCATCCATCATTCAAAAATCACTCATAATCATAATCACCATCATCATCATCATCATCATCATCATCATCGCGGAAATCATCATCATGTCATCATCACCATCGTCATTATCATCATCATCATCATCATTATCATCATCATCATGAATCATCAGTCATCATCTTCACCATCATGTCACCATCATCATTCAACATCGTATTTTTTGGAATCATATTTTCGTTTGTTTTGTGCGTCCATTTCCAGTGTACGCATCGAATAAAAAACCATTTGGTTTCGTTTTTGGGGACCGGCGTTCTTGTTGCTCTTCAAATTCTTATTGTCTGTCCGGGCGTATGCTGCGTTTTTCCCCTACAGGACGCCTGACGCGGGCAGATGAAAAAACACATTGTTCCGATTTTTTTAATTGCCATTCACATAATTGAATATTGTTTTTGAGGTCAATGTTTGCATCTTTTGTCAACACTCCAAACATTCATGTTCTTGTGCATCATCCATTTTCCACTGTACACATTGCGTTAGGTGATTTTTGTGAAATTGGAAAAACGAAGGATACCGAAACCAACTGGCTGCAAAAAAATGTCCCAAGGTGCGTTGGTATGGGTCAACACTTTCAACATTTGCCAGTTGGACTTCTGTTTGTATTTTTCACCCAACAGCGTAAAGTAATGGGGTCTTCAGCCCAGAATAGCTCCGGTGTGCACTGGTGTAGGCGCCGGGTCAGGTTCAACGAGGTTCCGGAGAAGGTTCCGAAGGTTCCAGAGAAGGTCTGGGAGGCTTTGGTGCAAAGCCAAGTCAGGTTCAACAGCGTTCCGGAGAAGGTTCCAGCGCTTGGCGTCGCAGCACGCTTCAGAAAGGTTTGCAAAAATACAACGTTGCGGCTGTTGGAGATACCACCGAAGCTCATTTTCCGTGGCAAAAATCACTTGGACAACGTTAACAGTAACATAACAACCAACACATTTCCAATTACTGTAGATTGTTTCAATCCCGAAATTTCTGAAATATTGAAAAACCTGAACCAGTTGTTGTGAAATAGTCAACAACTAATATTGTTCAAACACCATTGTCGCGCTAGACATTGATCACCCGGTTCGCAGTTGCTAGCCATGCAGGACCGATTATGTTGGTGTTGTTTTTTTTATTATTTGCAATGGAACAACCCGACATATTTAATCTCAAACACGCATTGCAGTGTTTTTCTCATTTTGTGGATTTACCTTCATGGGGTTTGCTGCAGGCCTCTGTGGTTGTTACACGCCGGGCTTTGTGCCTCAGTGGAGTCGAATCCTTATATAAGCATTTTGGATTTGCACCGATATGCAGGATGTCTCAATCGGTGCACAGAACAGGTAACAAACCATAGCAACAAATGTGATCTGTAGAACCATGTGAGGTTTGTGAAACACGTGGCAAAAAAATACCAGCTGGGACTCCGACTACGCAACACGCCTTGTTGATTTTTTCCATACATTTCATGGCATTGACATTCGATTTACTGCAGTCCGTTTGATAGCCTTGAATGGTTTCGACCATTTTCTCATTGTTTGATTGTTTTTCTTTTCTTTGACCTGTAGTTCGAAAGAAATAAATGCATGTCGAGGTTGGAGTGTTCGGCCCAACCGCAAGGCTGGAAAAACAATTCCAGGTCACCAACCATTTCAAATGCAAATGATAGATTTTTGATGACAAAAAATCGGTCAAATGAGAGCCACCGATTTCATTTCCCACACAATTTGTTTTTTAGTGTTGCACCCTTGCAAACCCATCATTGGAGGACACATAATATAATTAGATATAATTAGTCAAATGAATCAAACACACTGCCCGTGCATACCCCAGGCAGGCACGATGGCGCCATTTCCTCTTTCCAATGGCCACAAAGGTGGGAAAATGTGGAAACACACGATGGTTTCGGTTTTTCGGTTGTGTATTGTATTCATTTGTGAAAGGAATTAGACATGATTAGAATTCGAACATGTCAAAATCAATCAACTTAGTGTTTTACTTACATACAAAAACCAATTCAAAATGTGTGGAGACAAGACAAATTTGTTGGAACAAAATAGTACACATTTATGTTATATTATACTGTATACTTCATTGTATACCTACATAATACGTATATAAGTATTAATTCATTTATTCGTTTACTTGTGTATTCATTTATGCATTCATTTATTTATTTATTAATCAAATGATTTATTCATTTATTTGTTTTTTCTTGATTCTTTATTTCTTTATTATTATTATTATTCTTTTTAATTGTCTATTTATATATTTATTTGTTTTTTATTTTTTTCTTTCCTTCTTTATTTATTTATGAATGTGCGGTGAGGGGTGGTTTTGGTTTATGTTTGTGTTTGAATTGATGACCAGGGATGGCGGCCGGAACGTTTCGAACACGAAGGTCAGGCTTTGCAATTTGCACGGCAGCACCTTGGCCATGACCGGAAATCGATCAAATGTGAGTGGAAATCAACATTGTAACATTGTCAAATATAAACCATTGTAACATTGTAAACTAAGTCAAATTAAGTAAACCGATTGCTTTCCAACAAAAGACATTGTTGTGACATACACTCCCGGATCATTTCTTGAATGTATATACTTTCATCACATTCACTGGATGTGTTTCACTGGTGGTGTCATTTGTGGTACTGAAGTACACCACATGCATGATGGTTTGAGCAACCAGCTAGGACAAAAAAACACGGAAATTTCGATTGCAAATCGACGCAAACAATCACTTTTAGAACTGAGGTCCAAAAGGATCCCGATGTGGAAACTTGGCTGGGTTTTTGTCTCAGATCCTTTCAAAGTTCCAGTTGGAACTTGGATGGGGCAATTGCAATATATTGCAATTTTATTTCTGAGACTCCAAATTCAAAATGGGAACCAGTTGCAGAACTGCAATCGGCATTCTGAAACCAGTTTTGCCAGTTCCACAACCCTGTGGTTTTGACAGAAGAATTTGACATTCTGGCTCGAAGGTAACATGTTTGTTGCCTTTGCTTAATGAAGGGTAGCATGCGCTGAGAGGCTTGTGCAGGATGGACGAGCTTCGTCCGTGAGACAATTTGAACCTGTGCTGTGTAGGTGATGAAACTCTTGTAAAGTGCGATGGAAATTGCTAGTAACAGGCTTGACGAAGTTAGTGTACTTGTCAGAGCAAGGGACAGCTTTGAAAGTGATGGATTCTGAGTGGTGTCCACGGACAAACTGGTCCACAAGGCCTTAGTTCTGTTGCACGTAATTCTTTCATATTCTGATTTTTAGCTTTCAACATGTTTTTCCCCAACAGCGTAAGCTAATGGGGTCTTGGAGAAGGTTCCGAAGGCTCCCGAGAAGGTCTGGGAGGCTTTAGTGCAGAGCCAAGTCAGGTTCAACAGCGTTCCGGAGAAGGTTCCAGCGCTTGGCTTCGCAGCACGCTTCAGAAAGGTTTGCAAAAATACAACGTTGCGGCTGTGGGGGATACCACCGAAGGCTTATTTGGGACAACATTTTGGGACAATCCTCAAAATATTTCGCAAGTGTTGTTGTCCCTTTCCCGGAAGGCTGGTCTGAATGGAAGGATGGCTCGCAATGACCCGTTTCTGACAGATGTGGAGGCTACCCTTTTGGATTCTGGTTGTGCGATGTCAAGAATGGTAGGTTCATTGCCATTGAAGGCCAAATGCAATCTTCTGCCTTGAACAGAACATTGACAGAACATGGACGTTAGAATTGAATTGGCTTTTATACTCCAAACTGGTGTTTCAATTGTAAGTCCACAGAGGCCTGAAGGCGGAGAAACCCAGCAACCAAGCGGTTTTCCTGTGTGACCGGGTGGAATGAAAACACAGGAAGACAAAAACATGGCTTGATGGGTATGGCTTGCTCCCTACCGTGGAGAAAACAAAAATCAGGCGCGTGCAGACTACAAGTCCACATCACCATTCTCTGGTTGGACGCGACGGGAACATTTGGCCAGCATCCTACCAATATGGTTTGCCTGGTCAAGATGCAACGAAACTGACACTCTGCCATAGCCACAAATAGATACACAGCGGAAATGAGAGAAATATTGTGAGTTTTCCTCCAAGTCGAGGTCAAGATGAAGATATCAGAAGCAAGGTTTCATGTGGTTTTTTTAACAAAAATTGGTTTGCTTAGAGTTTGCTTCAAGGGTTTTCTGCCATGAAACCATTTGAAACCTGTGCAGAAGAAACCTCCCAGGTGACACGAGAAGTTGCGTTGCTCGTTTTTGTGCCATGGATCTGCTACGTTCCAGGCTTAACAGACTTACATAAATACGTTCTCAAACTGTAGTGGCTCCTATATGAATATGTTTCTTCCTAGCCATTCCTCAGTGTATTGCTGTTGTATTTCCTTTGCCAAGGATGAAACTTGCTCTACACATTTTAAGTGGTTGGAGTGATCTTCCTTATTGATTCATTGTGCACATCCTTGATTCATTGGCCATTCATTGGCCATCAACTCAGCAGACAAGGTGCTGCTGTTGCTGGTCTTCGCACTTCCACCACCAGGCACGCATGTTGAATTTCAAGCAAGGTAGGTTGACTCAGTTGACTCTACTACGCGTGCTGCCAACCAGGGACATGCAAAGACTGCATCTATTGGGCTGTTGCAGTCATTAAAATTCAATTTTGCAGCCTGAAGGCGTATTCGCAAGCGTTTTCGCTCTCATTTGCTGGGCTGGGACTCTTTTGGCAGCAGGCAAACAGCTAAGAAAGGCCTTTGGAAATGAACATCAAACAGCATCACCTGCAAGGAGTCGCAATTTTGCTATTATATAGAGATCTTAGAGATCTTGTCATTGGACCGTTGGGTTTCTTTCGGTGACTTGCCCTGAGGCACCAGTCATGACTTGCAGAAGCGGCATGGCAGCCCATTCTACAAACTCCTTACATTGACAGCTGCCTGTCTTACATACGGTGAGTGCAACTACATTTCTGGCCTTCTACACATACGCAGATAGGTATGTACATTTATTATCTACCGCATAGTATGTATATAGATATATTATGTATAGCTATATGTATGGATGTAATGTATATGTAGTGTATCTAGTGTATCCAGTGTATGTGGTGTATGTAATGTATGTAATGTATGTAATGTATGTAATGTATGTAATGTATGTAATGTATGTAATGTATGTCAAATGTGGAATATATTTAATGTATGTAGTGTATGTAAGGTATGCAATGTACGTAATGTGTGGCATGTGTGGAATGTATGGAATGTAACGGTATGTATTATCCTTTCGAGAGATTTCTGGAGACCTTAATTAAGTGATCTGGCCTTGGTGCTGTTTTAGTTGTATAATGGCTAAGTTTGTGTCAATGTGTTTTTTTCCTTTGCTGTCCTTTAGAAAGTTTTACTTTTTGCAAAAAAAGTAGGCAATAATTTCCTCATAGGAGATTTTGTTTTTTCTTTACAGAAACTATCCTCTGAGGAGGCTTTCTTTCCTCATCTCTTTGTAGAAACCTTTCTCTCAGGAAATTTTATCTTCATATACTTGAACCAATCAAGATGTAGTAAGCACCTGCGAGGTCTCAGGTCATGGGCAAAGAGGTGAACAAAAAACAACTGTGTGCTAGTGTCTTCTTCACAAGAATTCCTTTTTTCCTCTTCATGCAACAGGCCACTCTGGAAGTTCGTGTTGAGACATGAATTTGTACAGTGTATTTCTAGAAGTTGAAGCAATTGTATTTTCCTCAGATGTGATTGGTCTGTGGCATCAAACCTAATTAAAATCAATCAAGGGAAAAAAACAACAACACCAAATGGCAAACAAGGTTCTCCACCCCTTCTTCTCGAAATAGCAGCTACTGTCCCACCCATATCTTCATCCAATTCTAAGAAGGGCAGCACTCATCAAACTCACATAGCTCCTGTGGAAGAGGGTGTGCTTGGGCTTGAACCTCCAAAACATCTCTTCAGGATCGCTGTCAGAGGAGAGGGAGACATAAAGTAGCAGGAATCTTTGTCCTGCTGTAGCTAATTCTTGTGGGTTCCAAAGGTCTCTGGACAGCAGGCTGCATTCAATCATGGAAAATGGTGTTTTCAAATGTGTTGGACTTGTCCGCAATGCTTCTGCAATTTCCAAGCTCCATGGTATGAGAGACCTGGTTTCTCCAGCAGATGCTCTAAGCTTGGGAGCTGAGACTTTGTGTTTTTTTTTGTCAGTCTTCCTGAGCATTCCCATAGTCAAAGTATCAAGCCTGTTGTCCACTGAACTTCTTCTGTAGAAAGATTGCATGGATCTAATAACAGAACTCAACCTCTTGTCTTTGCTGGATCCAGGAAATCTACCAAGGAGGAAATATATAATATAAATCAAATTCCCTAGAAAATCTTGGGCAACTCCCAGGTCACAAGCATGCAGCCAATCAATAACAAAGCGATCTATCTGGAGGCCTGGTGCACAAGATAATGCAGATATTTGTTTTCGTTCTGTTATGCAATCAACAAAATGATCCATGGTCGTTTTTCTCTGGCTCCTCCAAACTAAGTGGTGCAATCCCTGCTGTTATCTTTGGTGGCATAGCACCTATAGCAAATGTTGTCTGTGCCAGACCATCCACTGAGGTTGAATGTGTTTTTGTACATTTCCCAATCTCCTCTAACTTCTGTGAGAAGTGCAGTACAATTCAAGCTTTTGCCTTGGTTGTTCCTTCTCCAGGAAGACAGGAATGGGTTACCTGGGTGCATGGAAAGAATCCAGCTTCTGTTAGGAGTGTCCAGTCAGAAACCAAAAAGAAATTGGCTGATGATTGATCTTTCCAGGGAAAACAAGAAAACAGGCAATGACAGGCAGCTTTTTTTCCACCTTGTGCTCACCAGCTCTGTAGCCTCACTTCAGAGTGCAAAAACCGCTACATCCTTCTCTGCACCCTATATCCTATATATCTGTATATGTATAACTCCATGTATATGTGTGGGAGTATTGCTAAAACACATGTATAGTCAGAGTTTAGAGAAGGATTTCTCCTCAGAGGAGTTTAGCCTTCAAGGAGAGCCTGGATTCTCCTTTTCAAAGCTTTCAGCCCATCTAGGTGCTGACTTCCTTTTTCCTTCCAGTCTGTCAACTTCTGACAGAGGGCCTTGGCCTTTGCCTGGTCCATGTCACTGGAAATTTCCAACTTGGAAGCAGCAAGGTCATTATGCAAATCATCAAGGGCTTTGCCCACCCGGTTCAAACCATCTTGAAGATCATCCAATTTTTTCATGTCCTTGCCAGGGTTCTGGTGCATAGCCTTGAGATCCTTGAAGATACTGATGATAGCCTCATATTCTTTGGCGGCCTTGGTCTTGGCACTGTCCACCACTTTCAATGAGCTCTGGCACTCAGCAAATGGTTCAATCTTGATGTCTGGACCTTTGTCACCCAAAGCCAGGTTCATCTTGCTGACCTGAATGTCACCTGTGTCAACCCTGACCTCAGATTTCTGGAGCTCTGCTTCCTTGGTCGTGGCTTGCTCTGGTCGGTGAATGTAGTAGTACTTGCTCAGCAAAGGATTGGTAGCATGTTCCTTCTTGAGTGGTGGATCCTGCTGGGTGGTGATCCCCTCCCTTTCATAGCAGTCTTTGAAAAAATCTTCAAAGACTTTGGTCCTGTCAGCAGGCTCTAGATCTGTCCAGCTCCAGCCATTGTGCTTCAAGATCTCAGGAGCTGACCTGAGCTGAACATGCAAAATGCATGCTGTTTTAAATGCTGGATGTGGTTTATGTATACCTCTTGATGGTGTAAGACTATATGCATATATGTCTATATCTATATGTGTGGATATATTGAAAAATATTATAAATAATGGATATACAAAATGTGTATATATATATATGTGTGTCTATATGATATATGGCTACCTACAGGATCTCTTCAAAGAAAACTGCTAACTCTGCGCATCACTCCTCAGAGGAGTGGCCTAAGTGTTATGTATAATCCATAAAAATTGTTTAGTGGAAACAGAAAACGTACTTCAACTATACCTAGAGACATGTACCCTTCAATAACTTGAGAGGAAGTCTCCTTAGAGGAGCTGCTGGATTCCACACTGGAGAAATCTGCTGAAGGTTGCCCTTGATCCCGCCTCCAGCAATGTACTTGGCCACAAGGCCCCTCTTCTCATCTGCCGACATGGAGTTGTATTTCTGCAGGGCAAGGGTTTCAATGACACTGATGATGAAAACAGAATGGGTTTCATGCATGTTGGAGTTCAACAATTTCATGATGAAGATCAACCAAAAATGTATAGCTCTAATTGATCACATCTTTGATAAATAAATAAATACACATATTTATATATATTTATATACATAGGCTCATGCTGACCTAGATTTAGATTTACTTTTTCTTGCAACCCCTATCCTCCAAGACCATCTGTGCACCCTGAGCTTGTGGATCCTTTGGGTTCTTGGCTTTGTACTTCAGGGAAGTGATGAACTTGGAAACTTCTGCCCTAGAAACCTCATTGGCTTCCTCCGCAACCTCAACTCCTGAAGGTTTGCTAGCAGCCTTAGCCTTAGCTTTGGCCTTGCATTTCACCCTGGGCTTGCCAGCCTTCTTGGGCGCAGCAGTGGGCTTTCCCATGGTGGCAGCAGAAAGAATTTTGTATTTGAACCAATACCAGCTTTGCAAAGATACATATATCATTCACCAAGATCACAAGAAACAGGAAGCAAAGCACTGCTGAGTTCATTGGTGTTTAAAAAAATATGTTATTTTTTTAAAAATCATTTTTAACACTTTTCTTTAAATCAGTGTTAAAAAATAGGTTTTACAAAGATTTTTAAATATAAACTGGATTTTTTAACAGTTAAAAAGGTGTTAAAATTTCAACATTTTTTTAACACCATTGATTTTTTGTGACTTAGTTTTGAAATTCTTCTGATCCAACACTTCCACCATGACACATTTGATTGGGGTCCCTGGCCATTGGTAGCCCAGCCATTGTGCCGCCTCTGAGCCTGACTTGGCAAGTGCTGACATGTGAATGATGTTGCATGTTTGGTGGAAGGGTTCAGTATATAATATTTCTCCTCTGAGGAGTGCTGACTCTATTCATATCATATACATAGATTTGGAACTAATATATGTGTATTTTGAAAATATATGTGGATGCAATGGGGTCGGTAGTGACTCCTCTGAGGAGTGTCACTTTCTTAGATGATCAGACTACATCCAAGTCAATGCAAGAGAAACTCCATGATGGTCAATATCACAAGACAAACTTGGAACAAGATATGAAACACTACTGCACTCAACACAATTGTCAACAGTTTGAGCAGCAAGGACCCTTTTCTGTCGAAGATATGCCAGTCGAAGGTGTGCCATCTCTTGAACTTGGTCCTTTACCAGACCACATTGAGATCAGCTGCTTGGATGCACATTCACTTCCTGTGCCAGGGAGCACTTGCAATTGCCTTCTGAACCCTTTCATTCATCCAGCTCTGTTGGTCATTGGTCCGGCCAGCCATTGGAATATCTGGCCCCACCCAAGTGCCCTTTTGCTTTTTCTTCTGGATTGCAGCATGCAGGGAAAGTACTCGTTTGACTCCCTTCGATTTCTTCTTCTTGGAGCTCTCCATGATAGCCTGCTTGTACTCATCTGGCATTGTGTCCATGGGAGGCACAGATGGTGCATGTTCCACCTTCTCTCCACTCTCTAGATCTTCTATGATGACAGGTGCATCAATGAAGGGGGCTGCCTCCTCCACTTGTGGAGGGGGCAGCATGGCCTCCTCCAGCTCCTGTGCATACTCCTGGATGCCGTCTTGAAATGCTTGGGCAAGCTGGCTGCACTCGCTGCGAGGCTGAGCGTACTTCTGCCAGTCATGTGGGGGCCACTTTGCCCCATACTCATACTTGCCTCTGGCAGTCAATTTTTCCCCAGCGTGTGGGTCAAGCATGTAGAATGCTTGGCAGTACATGTTGCAGCACAGACCCTGCCTGAGGTAATTGCGTGTGTTGCAAAGATTGCACAGCCTCAGTGAGGACAATTCTTTCACCTCTTCAATCTCCTCTTCGTCTGCAGGCTCAAGCTTCACATTCAGGAGTTCTGGCTCCTTTTCTTTGGCAGCTTTGGCAGCTTCTGCCGTTTCATTGGCTGCAGCTACCTCTGCCAGCTCCTCTTGCAATTCCAATTCGCGAGGCGCAGCTCCTCATTGGCCTTCTGAATGGCATCCTCGTTGGCCTTCTGTTTGGGGTACCCTATTTTTACGGGGATTTTTTCCCCCCTCCCCGGGGATTTTTTCCCCGGCTAAGTTCTCGCAGACTGGTGTGCCAGGGAAGCAAGGCAGCAAGCAAGCAAGTAAGCCAGCCAGCAAGCAAGCAAGCAAAGAAGGGAGCCAGCGAGCAAGCAAGCAAGCAAGCAAGCCAGCCAGCCAGCAAGCAAGCAAGCGAGCAGGGAGCCAGCGAGCAAACCAAGCAAGCAAGCAAGCAAGCAAGCAAGCAAGCAAGCAAGCAAGCAAGCCAGCCATCCAGCCAGCCAGCCAGCGAGCCAGCAAGCAAGCAAGCAAGCAAGCAAGGGGGCCAGCGAGCAAAGCAAGCAAGAAAGCAAGAAAGCAAGCAAGCGAGCAAGCAAGCAAGCGAGCAAGCGAGCGAGCGAGCAAGCGAGCAAGCGAGCAAACCAACCAACCAACCAACCAACCAAGCAAGCAAGCAAGCAAGCAAGCAAGCAAGCAAGCAAGGGAGCAAGCAAGGGAGCAAGCAAGGGAGCCAGCGAGCAAACAATCTTTCTTCGAGGAATTTCTGTCCGAACCGAGGTTGTAACTAGTTATTGGCTTTATACACCCATATCTATTGATACTTATGCATTATATTTGCTAGCATTGATGGAGAGAAAGAAGGGAATATTGCAGGTGTCGAAGCTACTAGTAAGTGGGATGAAAGTCTAAGTATGTTTGAAGATTCTTTTGGAACTCTCCCAAGCGGTTGATAGGCGATAGTCATGATGAAGGTCTAACCGCGGGCCCCAGGCAGTGGACACTGCCAGACCTCAACCGCGGGCCCCAGATCTCAGTGGGCACTGCCGGACCTCAACCACGAGCTCCACATGTTAGTGGGCACTGCCGGACCTCAACCACGGGCGTCAAATTTCAGTGGGCACTGCCGCACCTCAACCGCGGGCGCCAGATCTCAGTGGGCACTGCCGGACCTCAGCTTGACGCCAGAGATAATGTCAGATAGAATGCCAGAAAGAATGTCCGAATAGATGCCAAAAATGCCAGAATTTAATGAATGTCTGAAACGATGCCACGTAGAATGTGAATACCACTGTACCACTGAAAATATTGCTGCCGTGGCGGGTCGGTGGTGATGGTTGGTGCTAGGATACCCAGAATGGGAAAGTGATATGTTTAGATGGCAGTGATCATAATGAATGAAAGTGATGTGAAATTCAAAAGTTGCAAAGAAAAACCTGCAACTTTGGCGATCCAGGTATGTATATATACATATGTACAGGTAGTCATTTAGATACATGTTTTGTGGCTATTTATTTGCGCATATCCAACAACAACAACAACCACAACAATAAACACAATAACAACAACGATCACAACAACAAGCATCACAACAACAAGCATCACAACAACAACCATCACAACAACAACCATCACAACAACAACCATCGCAACAACAAACATCACAACAACAAACATCGCAACAACAAACATAACAAAGAAACAACAACAAACATTACAAACACAGACAGCACAACAACAAACATAACAGCAACAAACGTAACAACAACAAATGCGACAACATAGATAGAAGGTTCCAGCTCCCAAATTCTAGAAATAGCACGCAAACTGAAAGGTTCCTGCGCGCAAATGCGGCAAATAGCATGATAAATAGAAGGTTTCTGCGCCCAAATGTGGCAAATAGCATGCAAAATAAAAAGTTCCAGCGCCAAAATGCTGCAAATAGCATTCAGCATGGAAGGTTCAGCTCCAAAATGCGGCAAATAACACGCAAAATGAAAGGTTCCAGCTCCCAAATGCCGCAAATAGCATGCAGCATGGAAGGGAAGTGGCAGGATAGATGTAGGGGACGGAACACAGAACAGATCAGGAAAAAAAAATCCCCGGGGAGGGGAAAAAATCCCTTTTTTGAATGATATCGTCTGCAAAGTAGCCCTTGGCCCTCCATTCTGGTTCTGATGAGCTCTCCTCACCAGCAGGGGTTGCTGGTAGATGTGGATCTTTTTCTTTTTCCTCCTCCTCATCCTCTTCCTTCTCTTCATCTTCACCTTCTGGATGAGGTCCATCTCCTCCATCTCCTCCACCCTCTCCTCCATCACCACCCCCATTTCCATCTCCACCACCCTCTCCTCCAGCACCATCTCCATTCCCATCACCACCTCCACCTTCGGGCGCTTCTTCTTGGGGTGCTTCTCCTTGGGCAGGTTCTGATTGTCCTTCACCATCAGGCACAATTGCAGGAGCCTCCTCTGTGCCATCTCCTTTGTCGACTTGTACCTGGCAAAGCAAGAACATGAAATCAGAATGGATGGTTTCATGAATGAAGCCTCCTCTAAGGAGGGTTTCTTAAATTGGAAGCCTCCTCTGAGGAGTGCTTTTTAACAAAAATGAATGTATATGTGAGCAAAAAAACCCTGAGCATCACTCGTCTGAGGAGTGCTTCTGATCACAAATGAATGTGTGTGGACCAAACAAGGTAAACATCACTGAGGAGTGTACAAAAACACCTTGAGACATGAGACTTTGTTTCAAACAAAAACCAGACCTGGCCTCAGTACCTTCCAGGAAGGCATTTTTCCTCTCATAGATCTCAGCTGGAGCACTTGGGTCGAATCCTTCCCTATAAGCATCTTTCCCAAAGCCATCAGTGTTGGCATCCGACAACTGCTTGCAATGGCTGGAGCCAGAAAGAGTTGCACAGTTTCCACATAGTTCAACAACAATGCTACACAATCCAACCTCCTCCAACCAAGTACTTGTTTCTGATACCCTTAATCCTAAATATTTCTAGTATATGAGACATGGACAATTGAAAATGCAATGCGACATGAAACATGCAAGCTCAACCTACCTACACTGGCCACCAAAAACCCACTGGGAATCCAGACAATATTGTCCTCTGAGGAGATGCTGCACATAGTGGCATGAGGCTGCACCTGGCATGGCCGCAGGATAGCAGGTAACAACTACATATATGAGGGAAGGAATGAAAGGGGGAACATTTTTATATCCATACATGTTTCAATATATTTCTCCATCACTCACTCCTCTGAGGAGTACATCTTTCCATATATTTCTTTAAAAATGTTTGTTTGTTGGTTGACATGATTGGTAGCAGAACAATACACATATGAGTGGAGTTTCATGAAGGATTTCATGAAAGGTGTTGATCCTTGAGGTCACCAAAGACACACACACACACACTTAAAAAACACACATCTGTCCACCCCTTTGTTGGCTACCACTTGTTACACCCCTTATATTCCCCCATATGATGACAAAGGTGCAGCTTCAACTTGCAAGCCTGCAGAACAACAAAACAAGCCAGAAGCACCTGTGTGGTTGCCAACCTTCTGGGCATGCATGGCACAGAAAACTTGGTTTGAGCCAATGATCTCCTCAAAGGAGATCAAGATACAGCAAACATGATTTGATCAACGTCTCATCAAAAAAATATCAATGAAAAAGCAAAAGATCCAGAGACCTTATTTAAGAGATCTGGCCCAAAATCCAGATCCCTTAAATAAGGTCTCCAAAACCAAGATTTTTGGCCAAACTCCAGATCCATTATTTAAGGTTCGGACCTTACTTATTTAAGGACTTTTGGAGGCTCTGTGTCGTCGTCGGCGTCGTCGTCGTCGTCCTCGTCGTCGTCGTCCTCCTCGTCGTCCTCCTCGCTCGTCGTCCTCCTCGTCGTCCTCCTCGTCGTCCTCCTCGTCGTCATCCTCGTCCTCGTCCTCGATCCTCGATCCTCGTCCTCGTCCTCGATCCTCGATCGTCGTCGTCGTCGTCGTCGTCGTCCTCGTCGTCGTCCTCGTCGTCGTCCTCGTCGTCGTCGTCGTCCTCGTCGTCCTCGTCGTCCTCCTCGTCGTCCTCCTCGTCGTCCTCCTCGTCCTCGTCGTCGTCCTCGTCGTCGTCCTCGTCGTCGTCCTCGTCGTCCTCCTCGTCCTCGTCCTCCTCGTCCTCGTCGTCGTCCTCGTCGTCGTCCTCGTCCTCGTCGTCGTCCTCGTCGTCGTCCTCGACCTCGTCCTCGTCCTCGTCCTCGTCCTGGTCCTCCGCAGAGCCTCCAAGAGTCCTTAATTAGGAGAGACCTTAATTAAGGTCCCCAGGATTTTCTTAATCAAGGTCTCCAGGAGAGATTTCTGGAGACCTTAATTAAGTGATCTGGCTTTGGTGCTGTTTTAGTGGCATAATGGCTAAGATTGTGTCAAAATTGTCATATGTTTTTTTCTTTGCTGTCCTTTAGACAGTTTTACTTTTTGCAAAAAAAGTAGGCAATAATTTCCTCATAGGAGATTTTGTTTTTCTTTACAGAAACTATCCTCTGAGGAGGCTTTCTTTCCTCATCTCTTTGTAGAAACCTTTCTCTCAGGAAATTTTATCTTCATATACTTGAACCAATCAAGATGTAGTAAGCACCTGCGAGGTCTCAGGTCATGGGCAAAGAGGTGAACAAAAAACAACTGTGTGCTAGTGTCTTCTTCACAAGAATTCCTTTTTTCCTCTTCATGCAACAGGCCACTCTGGAAGTTCGTGTTGAGACATGAATTTGTACAGTGTATTTCTGGAAGTTGAAGCAATTGTATTTTCCTCAGATGTGATTGATCTGTGGCATCAAACCTAATTAAAATCAATCAAGGGAAAAAAAGAAAACACCAAATGGCAAACAAGGTTCTCCACCCCTTCTTCTCGAAATAGCAGCTACTGTCCCACTCATATCTTCATCCAATTCTAAGAAGGGCAGCACTCATCAAACTCACATAGCTCCTGGAAGAGGTGGTGCTTGGGCTTGAACCTCCAAAACATCTCTTCAGGATCGCTGTCAGAGGAGAGGGAGACATAAAGTAGCAGGAATCTTTGTCCTGCTGTAGCTAATTCTTGTGGGTTCCAAAGGTCTCTGGACAGCAGGCTGTAGCAAGCATTCGGTCGCAATGTGGCCTGGGAAATGGTGTTTTCAAATGTGTTGGGCTTTTCCAGCAATGCTTCCAAGCTCCATGGTATGAGAGACCTGGTTTCTCCAGCAGATGCTCTAAGTTTGGGAGCTGAGACTTTGTTCGTTTTTTGTCAGTCTTCCTGAGCATTCCCATAGTCAAAGTATCAAGCCTGTTGTCCACTGAACTTCTTCTGTAGAAAGATTGCATGGATTTAAAAACAGAACTCAACCTCTTGTCTTTGCTGGATCCAGGAAATCTATCAAGGAGGAAATAAATCAAATTCCCTAGAAAATCTTGGGCAACTCCCAGGTCACAAGCATGCAGCCAATCAATAGCAAAGCAATCTATCTGGAGGCCTGGTGCACAAAATAATGCAGATATTTGTTTTCCTTCTGTTATGCAATCAACAAAATGATCCATGGTCGTTTTTCTCTGGCTCCTCCAAACTAAGTGGTGCAATCCCTGCTGTTATCTTTGGTGGCATAGCACCTATAGCAAATGTTGTCTGTGCCAGACCATCCACTGAGGTTGAATGTGTTTTTGTACATTCCCCAATCTCCTCTAACTTCGGTGAGAAGTGCAGTACAATTCAAGCTTTTGCCTTGGTTGTTCCTTCTCCAGGAAGACAGGAATGGGTTACCTGGGTGCATGGAAAGAATCCAGCTTCTGTTAGGAGTGTCCAGTCAGAAACCAAAAAGAAATTGGCTGATGATAGGTCTTTCCAGGGAAAACAAGAAAACAGGCAATGACAGGCAGCTTTTTTTTCACCTTGTGCTCACCAGCTCTGTAGCCTCACTTCAGAGTGCAAAAACCGCTACATCCTTCTCTGCACCCTATATCCTATATATCTGTATATGTATAACTCCATGTATATGTGTGGGAGTATTGCTAAAACACATGTATAGTCAGAGTTTAGAGAAGGATTTCTCCTCAGAGGAGTTCAGCCTTCAAGGAGAGCCTGAATTCTCCTTTTCAAAGCTTTCAGCCCATCTAGGTGCTGACTTCCTTTTTCCTTCCAGTCTGTCAACTTCTGACAGAGGGCCTTGGCCTTTGCCTGGTCCATGTCACTGGAAATTTCCAACTTGGAAGCAGCAAGGTCATTACGCAAATCATCAAGGGCTTTGCCCACCCGGTTCAAGCCATCTTGAAGACCATCCAAAAGTTTTTTCATGTCCTTGCCAGGGTTCTGGTGCATAGCCTTGAGATCCTTGAAGAGACTGGTGATAGCCTGATATTCTTTGGCGACCTGGGTCTTGGCACTGTCCACCACTTTCCATGAGCTCTGGCACCCAGCAAATGGTTCAATCTTGATGTCTGGACCTTTGTCACCCAAAGCCAGGTTCATCTTGCTGACCTGAATGTCACCTGTGTCAACCCTGACCTCAGATTTCTGGAGCTCTGCTTCCTTGGTCGTGGCTTGCTCTGGCCGGTGAATGTAGTAGTACTTGCTCAGCAAAGGGTTGGTAGCATGTTCCTTCTTGAGTGGTGGATCCTGCTGGGTGGTGATCCCCTCCCTTTCATAGCAGTCTTTGAGCAAATCTTCAAAGACTTTGGTCCTGTCAGCAGGCTCTAGATCTGTCCAGCTCCAGCCATTGTGCTTCAAGATCTCAGGAGCTGACCTGAGCTGAAAATGCAAAATGCATGCTGTTTTAAATGCTGGACGTGGTTTATGTAAATGTATATCTCTTGATGGTGCAAGACTATATGCATATATGTCTATATCTATATGTGTGGATATATCGAAAAATATTATAAGTAATGGATATACAATATATATATATATACACAGATGTGTCTATATGATATATGGCTACCTGCAGGATCTCTTCAAAGAAAACTGCTAACTCTGTGCATCACTCCTCAGAGGAGTGGCCTAAGTGTTATGTATAATCCATAAAAATTGTTTAGTGGAAACAGAAAATATACTTCAACTATACCTAGAGACATGTACCCTTCAATGACTTGAGAGGAAGTCTCCTTAGTGGAGCTGCTGGATTCCACACTGGAGAAATCTGCTGAAGGTTGCCCTTGATCCCACCTCCAGCAATGTACTTGGCCACAAGGCCCCTCTTCTCATCTGCCGGACATGGAGTTGTATTTCTGCAGGGCAAGGGTTTCAATGACACTGATGATGAAAACAGAATGGGTTTCATGCATGTTGGAGTTCAACAATTTCATGATGAAGATCAACCAAAAATGTATAGGTCTAATTGATCACATCTTTGATAGATAAATAAATAAATAAATAATAAACATATATATATATAGGCTCATGCTGATCTAGATTTAGATTTACTTTTTCTTGCAACCTCTATCCTCCAAGACCATCTGTGCACCCTGAGCTTGTGGATCCTTTGGGTTCTTGGCTTTGTACTTCAGGGCAGTGGTGAACTTGGAAACTTCTGCCCTAGAAACCTCATTGGCTTCCTCCACAACCTCAACTCCTGAAGGTTGGCTAGCAGCCTCGGCTTTGGCCTTGCATTTCACCCTGGGCTTGACAGCCTTCTTGGGCGCAGCAGTGGACTTTCCCATGGTGGCAGCAGAATGAATTTTGTATTTGAACCAATGCCAGCTTTGCAAAGATACATATATCATTCACCAAGATCACAAGAGACAGGAAGCAAAGCACTGCTGAGTTCATTGGTGTTTAAAAAAAAATATGTTCTTTTTTTTAAAACATTTTAGACACTTTTTTAACACTGTTAAACTAGACGACGGTTGGCCCGAGAGCGAAAAAAGATGTTTTTCAAGCAGCTCTGAGGATGGTAGTCGTAAAAGATAGTCGGTGAATAGTTGGAGAATTTTATATGAGCTATGGAAAGATATGATGTGAAATATGATGTGAAAAAGTAAGATTGATCAAGAAGAGAATATTTGGTAAAGGGCATCAGATGACATGTGTCTTGCAACCAGAAAGAGAGAAAGAGGGGGCAGAGATAAAGAGAGAGAGAGAGAGAAAGAGAAAGCAGAGAGAGAGAGAGAATGAAAGGGGTGGGGTAGAAAGAAAACATGGAGAAATGTAATGTGAGCAACAAAAGTGCACAGGAGGCTCAGTGCCATGAGTCTGCGAATGACATGTGCTATCTCATTTTATTATGGTAATTCCCACACACACATTGCGGAAAAAGGCGCGGCACCATCATTCCGTGAACGCGAAGAAACGCGACGCTTTTATACAGAGACACTTTTACACACAGAATCTTTTACACATAAACACTTTTACACACAGACGCTTTCACACAGAGACGTTTTTCATGCACACACAGAGACGCATTTCCACACAGAGACTTTTACACGAAAACACTTTAACACACAGACGCTTTTATACACAGACTCTTTTACACACACACGCTTTTACATGCAGATGCCTTTTTACAGACGCACACACACTTTCACACACAAACGCTTTTACACACAGACGCTTTTGCACACAGACACAGACGCTTTTCCACACGGACCCTTTCACACACAGACGCTTTTACACACAAACACTTTTACACACATACGCTTTTACACACGGACGCTTTTACACGCAAACACTTTTACATACAGGCGCTTTTACACACAGACGCTTTTACACTCAGACACTTTTACACACAGACGCTTTTCCACACAGACCCTTTTACACACAGACGCTTTTACACACAAACACTTTTACACACAGACGCTTCCACAGAGACTTTTACACAGAGACGCTCACAAAGCGCGGCACCACTGGGTGACCTCAGTTGCAAACAAAGGTGCGCAAACATAGTTGCAATGGAAATGCTAAAAATCGCAAAAGTGCACAAGACCAGGCTCAGTACCATGATCAACGCACAATCCAATGCAAGGCATCCGCTCTTTGAGATACAAAATAAGCTCGGCACCATGATGCCGTGGATGACCTCAGTTGCCAACACAGGTGGGCAAACAAAGGCTCCGTACCATGGCATCCAAGAGAATCTAGAAGTCCGTGCAAGAATGCTGTGAATGATTCCACAATAGCAAGTTCGATATCATGATGGCAAGGATGACACCTGTTTCACTGCAATTCTCCGATGTCCCTACAGGATGGAAAAAAAATCTTTACAGACAAACAACAGTTGGCTACTGGTTTTGCATGTTCGTCACGAACAGTCTCTCCAGACGAACACTGCTACAGATTAATTTGCGCCAGTTGCACTCAGTTCCATGTGCCACTCGGTATGCAAGCCTTCCAGCTCCCACAAGCTGCTTCCAAGCAAAGGTCGGTACCATGATGCTGCAGATGTGGCATGTTTGCCGCTTTTTCTACTGCAGCAATCCGGCTACTGCGGTCGATCTTTATCTGGGCACCTCCACGGACACGACCTAAGTTCCAGCATCTCTGTGAACACAGAAAGATCTTCCAGCCAGTCAGCAGGATGCTCATACTCGAGATTCACAACGCAGTCGTTGCAGTGCCCGCAGATGTAACATCTCTCGGCTGCCATTGTCCTCCAAACATATTCTATGCTCCTGACTGTTTTTTTGATATATTTCATATGATGATGACGAAAGTGTGGTATTGTCACGGTCATGACCTTTGCCCAGCCAGCAGAGACTTGCTGAGATTGGCTGAGATGTCCAGCTATCGTCTGACTCGTTTGGATCGCCGGGTTCTTGGTTGGCACCACAGCAAATACAGATGGTGGTGTCTGCCTCCTTCCAATGACACATTTTCTTCAAAACAACCGGCCAACCAGCTTTTACCAGATAGTGTCCGGTTTCTGGTTGCACAGAATATTTTGGAGCCAATTCAGAGCTCCCAGGCACAAATGAAAGAATGTGTCGTAGAATTTGGTCATCAAAGACATTCGTTGCCATGGCAGAACACACTTAAATCCCCAAATACTTTATGCGACATGTTTGTGCACTAAAACTTTGTTTGTTGTTAACTGCCGTCATGTCCAACGATGTGGGCGCTGCCGCCGAGTATCTTTCAACACCAAGACCCATAATCGGTTGGCATCATCTCTTGCTTCTTCATTTGAAAACAGAATGTAATACAATGTGAAATCGAGCATGAGCTCATGCATCCAAGCTAGTGGCAAATGGCCCCAGAAATGGCGGCCCATTTCCGGAGGGCCGTTCATGTGCACTTGATCGTAGATGTACAATTCTCTCGAACCGGCGTCCTTCCAGTCATGAATAGATACCAAAAGCGCATCGTTCAAATCAACTGAATTTGTTTGAAACGAAGTATATTGCAATCTCCCCGCAGCTGCAAAGCAATCGGCTGCCAGGCCCGACATGATGTGAGTACAGACTACAGAAGTATTACTTGAAAGCGTCAGGTTTCGATATTTCCACTACAGCTTCACCTACAAACGTCACATCTCTTGAGCGAAACGCATCTTGTCCATTCGTTCACATCTGAGCCAAGGAATGTACAACGCACAATCCAATGCGAAGCATCTGCTCTTTCAGTTCGGAACTGAAAAAACGACTCCTGAGTTTGACATACCAAATAAGCTCGGTACCATGATGCCGTGGATGACCTCAGTTGCAAAGAAAGGTGCGCAAACGTAGTTGCAATGGAAATGCTTAAAAATTGCAAAAGACGCTTTTACACACAAAAGCTTTTACACACAGACGCTTTTACACACAAAAGCTTTTACACACAGACGGTTTTACACACAGACGCTTCTACACGCAGATACGTTTTACACACGCACACACGCTTTCAAACACAAACGCTTTTACACACAGACGCTTTTACACACAGACACTTGTACAGAAACGAAAGCGTCCATCGCAATTTTTCCTCAGTTTTTGACGTCCAACGTCCATTTCGTGCGAAAGGGTTAAGTAAAATCGCAATTTTTCCTCAGTTTTTGACGTCCAACGTCCATTTCGTGCGAAAGGGTTAAGTAAAATCGCAATTTTTCCTCAGTTTTTGACGTCCAACGTCCATTTCGTGCGAAAGGGTTGCGATTGACAACTCAAAGTCGCAATTTTTCCTCAGTTTTTGACGTCCAACGTCCATTTCGTGCGTAAGGGTTGCGATTGACACCTCAAAGTCGCAATTTTTCCTCAGTTTTTGACGTCCAACGTCCATTTCGTGCGTAAGGGTTGCGCGGGACACCTCAAAGTCGCATTTTTTCCTCAGTTTTTGACGTCCAACGTCCATTTCGTGCGAAAGGGTTGCGCGCGACACCTCAAAGTCGCAATTTTTCCTCAGTTTTTGACGTCCAACGTCCATTTCGTGCGAAAGGGTTGCGCGCGACCAATAACAGTTGCAATTTTTCCTCAGTTTTTGACGTCCAACGTCCATTTCGTGCGAAAGGGTTGCGCGCGACCAATAAAAGTTGCAATTTTTCCTCAGTTTTTGACGTCCAACGTCCATTTCGTGCGAAAGGGTTGCGCGCGACCAATAAAAGTTGCAGTTTTTCCTCAGTTTTTGACGTCCAACGTCCATTTCGTGCGTAAGGGTTGCGCGGGACACCTCAAAGTCGCAATTTTCCTCAGTTTTTGACGTCCAACGTCCATTTCGTGCGAAAGAGTTGCGCGGGACGCTTCAAAATCGCAATTTTACCTAGGTTTTGGACGTCCAACGTCCATTTCGTGCGAAAGGGTTGCGTTTCGTGGCGCTCCGGCGGCACCGCCCCCGGCTTAAGAGAGAATAGAAGAAGAGCGAGAGGAGATCTGCAGATGTGAAGGTGTGAAGATGTAGATCTGCAGATGTGAGGGTGTGAAGATCTAGATGTCCAGATGTGAGGGTGTGAAGATCTAGATCTGCAGGTGTGAAGGTGTGAAGATCTAGATCTGCAGGTGTGAAGGTCTGAAGATCTAGATCTGCAGGTGTGAAGGTGTGAAGATGTAGATCAGCAGATGTGAAGGTGTGAAGATGTAGATCTGCAGGTGTGAAGGTGTGAAGATCTAGATATGCAGGTGTGAAGGTGTGAAGATCTAGATCTGCAGGTGTGAAGGTGTGAAGATCTAGATCTGCAGGTGTGAAGGTGTGAAGATGTAGATCAGCAGATGTGAAGGTGTATGTGAATTGAGATGTAATCTTCAGGTTGTGAAGGTGTGAAGATCTAGATCTGCAGGTGTGAAGGTGTGAAGATTCTAGATCAGCAGATGTTGTGTGTGAAGTGTGAAGATCTAGATCTTGCAGATGTGCGGTGGTGAAGATCTCGATCTGCAGATGTGAAGGTGTGAAGATCTAGATCTGCAGGTGTGAAGGTGTGAAGATCTAGATCTGCAGATGTGAGGGTGTGAAGATCTAGATCTGCAGGTGTGAAGGTGTGAAGATCTAGATCTGCAGATGTGAGGGTGTGAAGATCTAGACCTGCAGGTGTCAAGGTGTGAAGATCTAGATCTGCAGATGTGAGGGTGTGAAGATGTAGATCTGCAGGTGTGAGGGTGTGAAGATGTAGATCTTCAGGTGTGAAGGTGTGAAGATCTAGATCTGCAGGTGTGAAGGTGTGAAGATCTAGATCAGCAGATGTGAAGGTGTGAAGATCTAGATCTGCAGATGTGAGGGTGTGAAGATCTAGATCTGCAGGTGTGAAGGTGTGAAGATCTAGATCAGCAGATGTGAAGGTGTGAAGATCTAGATCTGCAGATGTGAAGGTGTGAAGATCTAGTATAACGGCTGCTTTTTTACGAAGAACCCTTCGCAGGCGCTCTCGGGAAAAATAGGTTTTAAATTGATTTTCGATTATAAACCAGATTTTTTTTAACAGTTAAAAAAGTGTTTAAACATGTTAAAATTTTAGCATTTTTAACACCATTGATTTTTTGTGACTTACTTTTGAAATTCTTCTGACCCAACACTTCCACCATGACACATTTGATTGGGGTCCCTGGCCATTGGTAGCCCGGCCATTGTGCTGCCTCTGAACCTGACTTGGCAAGTGCTGACATGTGAATGATGTTGCATGTTTGGTGGAAGGGTTCAGTATATAATATTTCTCCTCTGAGGAGTGCTGACTCTATTCATATCATATACATAGATTTTGAACTAATATATTTGTATTTTGAAAATATATGTGGATGCAATGGGGTGGGTAGTGACTCCTCTGAGGAGTGTCACTTTCTCAGACTACATCCAAGTCAATGCAAGAGAAACTCCATGATGGTCAATGTCACAAGACAAAAACTTGGAACAAGATATGAAACACTACTGCGCTCAACGCAATTGTCAACAGTTTGAGGATCCACGCAGCTCTCTGCAGCAGGGTCTGGCCTGAGCGCAACAAGGGTTGGAAGAATATGTTTTTGTGAATGGGGGGATGCAAATCCGTGTTGACTAAACATGGGCAGCTTGTGCAAATCAGACTTGATTCTTTCCAATGATACTCAAAAACAAATCATCTCCTCTGAGGAGATTGATACCAATTGAGATATTAGCTACAAGACCTCCTCTGAGGAGGTCTTGTACCTCAAAGAGCAGCAGCAGCAAGGACCTTTTTCTGTCGAAGATATGCCAGTCGAAGATGTGCCATCTCTTAAACTTGGTCCTTTACCAGACCACATTGAGATCAGCTGCTTGGATGCACAATCACTTCTTGTGCCAGGGCGCAGTTGCTATGGCTTTGGCAACCCGGTCATTCATCCAAGTTTGCTGAGCATTGGTCAGGCCCTGCATTGGGGCATCTGGCCTGATCCAAGTTCCTTTTTGCTTCTTCTGCTGGATGGCATAGTGAAGGGAAAGTACCCTTTTCACTCCCTTCGACTTCTTCCTCTTGGAGCGGCTCTCAAGGACTGCATCCTTGTATGCCTGTGGCATTGAATCCATGGGAGGCACAGGCCCACTTGGTGGATGTTCCACCTTCTCCCCACCCTCTAAATCTTCAATGATGACAGGCAATGAATGGGGCTGCCCCCTCCACTTGTGGAGGGGGCAGCATGGCCTCCTGGAGCTCCTCTCCATATTCCTGGATGCTATCTTAGAATGCCTTGGCAAGCTGGGCACACTCAATTCGAGGCATAGCGTGCTGCTTCCATTCATGTGGCGACCATTTTGCCCCATGCTCATACTTGCCTCTGGCAGTCAATTTTTCCCCAACATGTGGGTCACGCGTGTAAAATGCCTGGCAGTACAGGTTGCAGCAAAGACCCTGTCTGAGGTAATTGTTTGTGTTGCAAAGATTGCACATTCTGAGTGAGGACAATTCTTTGACCTCTTCAACCCAATCTTCGTCTGCAGGCTCAAGCTTCACTGCCTTCAGGAGTTCTGGCTCCTTTTCTTTGCCAGCTTCTGCTGCTTCCTTGGCTGCAGCTACCTCTGCCAGCTCCTCTTGCAATTCCAATTCGCGAGGCGCAGCTCCTCATTGGCCTTCTGAATGGCATCCTCGTTGGCCTTCTGTTTGGGGTACCCTATTTTTACGGGGAATTTTTTCCCCTTCCCCGGGGATTTTTTTCCCGGCTAAGTTCTCGCAGACTGGTGTGCCAGGGAAGCAAGGCAGCAAGCAAGCAAGTAAGCCAGCCAGCAAGCAAGCAAGCAAAGAAGCGAGCCAGCGAGCAAGCAAGCAAGCCAGCCAGCCAGCAAGCAAGCAAGCGAGCAAGGGAGCCAGCGAGCAAACCAAGCAAGCAAGCAAGCAAGCAAGCCAGCCAGCCAGCCAGCGAGCCAGCAAGCAAGCAAGCAAGCAAGCAAGCAAGGGGGCCAGCGAGCAAAGCAAGCAAGAAAGCAAGAAAGCAAGCAAGCGAGCAAGCAAGCAAGCGAGCAAGCGAGCGAGCGAGCAAGCGAGCAAGCGAGCAAACCAACCAACCAACCAAGCAAGCAAGCAAGCAAGCAAGCAAGCAAGCAAGGGAGCAAGCAAGGGAGCCAGCGAGCAAACAATCTTTCTTCGAGGAATTTCTGTCCGAACCGAGGTTGTAACTAGTTATTGGCTTTATACACCCATATCTATTGATACTTATGCATTATATTTGCTAGCATTGATGGAGAGAAAGAAGGGAATATTGCAGGTGTCGAAGCTACTAGTAAGTGGGATGAAAGTCTAAGTATGTTTGAAGATTCTTTTGGAACTCTCTCAAGCGGTTGATAGGCGATAGTCATGATGAAGGTCTAACCGCGGGCCCCAGGCAGTGAACACTGCCAGACCTCAACCGCGGGCCCCAGATCTCAGTGGGCACTGCCGGACCTCAACCACGAGCTCCACATGTTAGTGGGCACTGCCGGACCTCAACCACGGGCGTCAAATTTCAGTGGGCACTGCCGCACCTCAACCGCGGGCGCCAGATCTCAGTGGGCACTGCCGGACCTCAGCTAGACGCCAGAGATAATGTCAGATAGAATGCCAGAAAGAATGTCCGAATAGATGCCAAAAATGCCAGAATTTAATGAATGTCTGAAACGATGCCACGTAGAATGTGAATACCACTGTACCACTGAAAATATTGCTGCCGTGGCGGGTCGGTGGTGATGGTTGGTGCTAGGATACCCAGAATGGGAAAGTGATATGTTTAGATGGCAGTGATCATAATGAATGAAAGTGATGTGAAATTCAAAAGTTGCAAAGAAAAACCTGCAACTTTGGCGATCCAGGTATGTATATATACATATGTACAGGTAGTCATTTAGATACATGTTTTGTGGCTATTTATTTGCGCATATCCAACAACAACAACAATAAACACAATAACAACAACGATCACAACAACAAGCATCACAACAACAACCATCACAACAACAACCATCACAACAACAACCATCACAACAACAACCATCGCAACAACAAACATCACAACAACAAACATCGCAACAACAAACATAACAAAGAAACAACAACAAACATTACAAACACAGACAGCACAACAACAAACATAACAGCAACAAACGTAACAACAACAAATGCGACAACATAGATAGAAGGTTCCAGCTCCCAAATTCTACAAATAGCACGCAAACTGAAAGGTTCCTGCGCGCAAATGCGGCAAATAGCATGATAAATAGAAGGTTTCTGCGCCCAAATGTGGCAAATAGCATGCAAAATAAAAAGTTCCAGCGCCAAAATGCTGCAAATAGCATTCAGCATGGAAGGTTCAGCTCCAAAATGCGGCAAATAACACGCAAAATGAAAGGTTCCAGCTCCCAAATGCCGCAAATAGCATGCAGCATGGAAGGGAAGTGGCAGGATAGATGTAGGGGACGGAACACAGAACAGATCAGGAAAAAAAAATCCCCGGGGAGGGGAAAAAAATCCCTTTTTTGAATGATATCGTCTGCAAAGTAGCCCTTGGCCCTCCATTCTGGTTCTGATGAGCTCTCCTCACCAGCAGGGGTTGCTGGTAGATGTGGATCTTTTTCTTTTTCCTCCTCCTCATCCTCTTCCTTCTCTTCATCTTCACCTTCTGGATGAGGTCCATCTCCTCCATCTCCTCCACCCTCTCCTCCATCACCACCCCCATTTCCATCTCCACCACCCTCTCCTCCAGCACCATCTCCATTCCCATCACCACCTCCACCTTCGGGCGCTTCTTCTTGGGGTGCTTCTCCTTGGGCAGGTTCTGATTGTCCTTCACCATCAGGCACAATTGCAGGAGCCTCCTCTGTGCCATCTCCTTTGTCGACTTGTACCTGGCAAAGCAAGAACATGAAATCAGAATGGATGGTTTCATGAATGAAGCCTCCTCTAAGGAGGGTTTCTTAAATTGGAAGCCTCCTCTGAGGAGTGCTTTTTAACAAAAATGAATGTATATGTGAGCAAAAAAACCCTGAGCATCACTCGTCTGAGGAGTGCTTCTGATCACAAATGAATGTGTGTGGACCAAACAAGGTAAACATCACTGAGGAGTGTACAAAAACACCTTGAGACATGAGACTTTGTTTCAAACAAAAACCAGACCTGGCCTCAGTACCTTCCAGGAAGGCATTTTTCCTCTCATAGATCTCAGCTGGAGCACTTGGGTCGAATCCTTCCCTATAAGCATCTTTCCCAAAGCCATCAGTGTTGGCATCCGACAACTGCTTGCAATGGCTGGAGCCAGAAAGAGTTGCACAGTTTCCACATAGTTCAACAACAATGCTACACAATCCAACCTCCTCCAACCAAGTACTTGTTTCTGATACCCTTAATCCTAAATATTTCTAGTATATGAGACATGGACAATTGAAAATGCAATGCGACATGAAACATGCAAGCTCAACCTACCTACACTGGCCACCAAAAACCCACTGGGAATCCAGACAATATTGTCCTCTGAGGAGATGCTGCACATAGTGGCATGAGGCTGCACCTGGCATGGCCGCAGGATAGCAGGTAACAACTACATATATGAGGGAAGGAATGAAAGGGGGAACATTTTTATATCCATACATGTTTCAATATATTTCTCCATCACTCACTCCTCTGAGGAGTACATCTTTCCATATATTTCTTTAAAATTGTTTGTTTGTTGGTTGACATGATTGGTAGCAGAACAATACACATATGAGTGGAGTTTCATGAAGGATTTCATGAAAGGTGTTGATCCTTGAGGTCACCAAAGACACACACACACACTTAAAAAACACACATCTGTCCACCCCTTTGTTGGCTACCACTTGTTACACCCCTTATATTCCTCCATATGATGACAAAGGTGCAGCTTCAACTTGCAAGCCTGCAGAACAACAAAACAAGCCAGAAGCACCTGTGTGGTTGCCAACCTTCTGGGCATGCATGGCACAGAAAACTTGGTTTGAGCCAATGATCTCCTCAAAGGAGATCAAGATACAGCAAACATGATTTGATCAACGTCTCATCAAAAAAATATCAATGAAAAAGCAAAAGATCCAGAGACCTTATATAATTAAGAGATCTGGCCCAAAATCCAGATCCCTTAAATAAGGTCTCCAAAACCAAGATTTTTGGCCAAACTCCAGATCCATTATTTAAGGTTCGGACCTTACTTATTTAAGGACTTTTGGAGGCTCTGTGTCGTCGTCGGCGTCGTCGTCGTCGTCCTCGTCGTCGTCGTCCTCGTCGTCGTCGTCCTCCTCGTCGTCCTCCTCGTCGTCCTCCTCGTCGTCATCCTCGTCCTCGTCCTCGATCCTCGATCCTCGTCCTCGTCCTCGATCCTCGATCCTCGTCCTCGTCCTCCTCGTCCTCCTCGTCCTCCTCGTCCTCGTCGTCGTCGTCGTCGTCGTCGTCGTCCTCGTCGTCGTCCTCGTCGTCGTCCTCGTCGTCGTCCTCGTCGTCCTCGTCGTCCTCGTCGTCCTCCTCGTCGTCCTCCTCGTCGTCCTCCTCGTCCTCGTCGTCGTCCTCGTCGTCGTCCTCGTCGTCGTCCTCGTCGTCGTCCTCCTCGTCGTCCTCCTCGTCCTCGTCGTCGTCCTCGTCCTCGTCGTCGTCCTCGTCGTCGTCCTCGACCTCGTCCTCGTCCTCGTCCTCGTCCTGGTCCTCCCCAGAGCCTCCAAGAGTCCTTAATTAGGAGAGACCTTAATTAAGGTCCCCAGGATTTTCTTAATCAAGGTCTCCAGGAGAGATTTCTGGAGACCTTAATTAAGTGATCTGGCTTTGGTGCTGTTTTAGTGGCATAATGGCTAAGATTGTGTCAAAATTGTCATATGTTTTTTCTTTGCTGTCCTTTAGACAGTTTTACTTTTTGCAAAAAAAGTAGGCAATAATTTCCTCATAGGAGATTTTGTTTTTCTTTACAGAAACTATCCTCTGAGGAGGCTTTCTTTCCTCATCTCTTTGTAGAAACCTTTCTCTCAGGAAATTTTATCTTCATATACTTGAACCAATCAAGATGTAGTAAGCACCTGCGAGGTCTCAGGTCATGGGCAAAGAGGTGAACAAAAAACAACTGTGTGCTAGTGTCTTCTTCACAAGAATTCCTTTTTTCCTCTTCATGCAACAGGCCACTCTGGAAGTTCGTGTTGAGACATGAATTTGTACAGTGTATTTCTGGAAGTTGAAGCAATTGTATTTTCCTCAGATGTGATTGATCTGTGGCATTAAACCTAATTAAAATCAATCAAGGGAAAAAAAAGAAAACACCAAATGGCAAACAAGGTTCTCCACCCCTTCTTCTCGAAATAGCAGCTACTGTCCCACCCATATCTTCATCCAATTCTAAGAAGGGCAGCACTCATCAAACTCACATAGCTCCTGGAAGAGGTGGTGCTTGGGCTTGAACCTCCAAAACATCTCTTCAGGATCGCTGTCAGAGGAGAGGGAGACATAAAGTAGCAGGAATCTTTGTCCTGCTGTAGCTAATTCTTGTGGGTTCCAAAGGTCTCTGGACAGCAGGCTGTAGCAAGCATTCGGTCGCAATGTGGCCTGGGAAATGGTGTTTTCAAATGTGTTGGGCTTTTCCAGCAATGCTTCCAAGCTCCATGGT